GGAGAGCAGACCACAAACAAAGGACTGGATGAGTTTATTTCACATTTTGTGGGTCGGTAGACACTCAGGTTACCCAAATATATGTTCAAAATGTTGAACAGAGTCAATGTGTTTCATAATATGTCCCCTTTAAAACCTGTCTGTTCAATTGTGCAAAAAAAATGTGCATATTTCTTACTGCTCAGGTCAGTTACCTGTGCGTCCTGCGTGCTGTGGGTCGGAGCGCTGGGACTCAGCCAGATCAGAAGACGAGGATCAGACAGCTGGTCAGCAGCACCATCCTCATCTTCCTCGTCTGCTTCTCCCCCTACCATATCTTTTTGTTAGTGCGCACCCTGCTGGAGCGAGACTGCAACTTCATTGCAGGTATTGATTCTTTTCTTCAATATAATCCAGTCAGAAATCATTTAAATATTTCAACCATGTAGCCTGTATTTTTATCTTTCAGGAATATTTAACTACTATCACCTGTCGTTGTTGCTCACCACCTTGAACTGTGTTGCCGACCCCGCTCTTTACTGCTTCGTAAGCGAGAGTGCCCGCCGCAGCGTGTACAGAGTGATTCTCAGGCCTATTGCCAAGGTGTTATGTTGCTGCTTTCGTCGCGGCAATGCCAGCCCCAGCAACCCCACCACTGATTCCCACGAGGTCGCCACGGACGAAAACAACGGACATCCGACAGTGACGCTGCTCCAACACACCACCGCGCTAAACAACTCGAAAACAGACACTTCAGGGAAAGATAGTGTTTTAATCACGCAGACTGAAGAGAAAACTTTGAAACCTTTAATTATAGAGAACAGAGACTTTGAAAAATGTGTGGACACTGATGGGAAGCCCCGCTGTATGATTGCAATGGAGGAGCTGAGTGAAAACAAAGTGGGGGCTGAAGAAAACAACAAGATCAACGGCTTGAACTGAAAGTGGAGAACGCGAAAGGAATCAACCACAACATACCTGTCTGGATCAGGAGGATACCAGAGAGTCTGCTGTTATTGCAGTGTTGTTATAAAAAATTATCAAACAGTCTCCTGTGGTCTAAATGAAACATCTGTGCTGTGCTTTGGTCAAAATATAACATGAATCAAGCACCAGAGGAGGTTTGTGACCCTGTATAAACCAGCTCTCTCAGAACGCTCCGTTTTGGTGTGTGTGTCTCTTTAAAGGTAATGAACCCCCCCAGTAGTTTTCCCGGTAAACATCACTCCTTCGCTAGCGAGAATAAAAATGGCAGACCTGCACAAAAGTTTTGTTCTAGGCTGGGGGTGGAGATACCAGGGGAGGGGAGGGGATTTTTTTTTACCAGAATCCCACTGTGATGTCACAAGGAGAGCAAATTTGAAACGGAGCATTTTTCTCTGTGTTGTAAGACTTATGTAGACCACAAACAAAGGACTGGATGGGTTTATTTCACATTTTTGTGGGTCAGTAGACACTCAGGTTACTCAAATATATGTTCAACAACACTGTAAAGTGGATTTTTCATTATATGTCCCCTTTAAAAACTTGATTAAAATTGTAATAAAACAGCTGCATGTGGTACCACTTTATCATCAGATAACCTTTATGAATGATCTTTGGCAAATCTGGCTCCATCAATAGTTTATTGGTCTTTTAACCACTGCACTCCATTGATAAAAGCAGTAATGCTGGTCAACCATGGCCTTCATCAATTATTTTCTCTAAAGAGTGAACGCAGATTGATGACAGGAATGTGAGCGGCTTTAAAAGGAAGGTTATTGTGTTAATACTTTGCATGCACCTGTGCAGGTCTGCATATTTCCTATAGGAGAATATATAAAGGGTAACAATCACTATTGTTTACATAATGCATGTATGTAAACGACATTGTTATGGTCATAATGTTGTATTTTTTTAAGAATCTGTAAGCACAGTATTATTATCAGTAATCATTGTGTTCATGTTTGGATGATGATACAGTTCAAAAACTGAATGTACGAAGGATGTCTTCATGATCATGACAGGTATGATGAAATGGTTGTCAGGAGTTTAACTGTTGTGCAAATACAACTTCAAAATGTTAAGATATGAACTGACATGATTTAGATATTTAACTCAGTGAGGGATATAATATTATTGTCATCTAGGGCATCTTGTCATAATGTTAAACAGACTATATATATGTTAATGTAATATATTCACATGAAGGGACAAATGTGATAAAGAATATTTTTTATAAAACTTCAACATTTCTACAAAAAAAAGCTTGTCATTTTTTAACAGGCCGTTTGGTCAATAACGCGCTGCTGTGCAGAGTCTGTGTGTGTGTGTGTGTGTGTGACAGACTCTGTGTGACTTCATTTTGGGTTTCAGTCTAACTGCCAACAGAAGGCAGTCTTGTTGTTAACTTCTACAGAAAGAGATGCATGCAGCATTTCCAGATGATACAGACGATGATTCTGTCCTGAGCAGAAACCAGAGTTTTTCTCTGTGGTGAGAGTCTGAGCTCTTAGATTGCCTGAGTCTGCTTTATAAGTCTGTGGTTGCGGCTCTAGAGTTTACAGTCTTGGCAAACAGTCGTCGACCGTGTAATGCACGAGGTTAGGAGTTTACCTTGAGTTTAAGTACATGCTTTATATGTTCAGTATTGGATTATTAGAATCTGGACATCATTTATATATTTAATCATTTTTATGGTGTGTAACATCTTTTGGAGTTCTGGTGGTTTCACTTCATCCTTCATAAATTACCAGACGACAAACGTATGTATGCATGTATACTTTCAACCTCATAGTGTTGTGAAGTAATCTCAGTCGTTTTATTTACAACTTCATGTGGGGTTGATGTGCAGCTAAATGTAGCTGTCAGTTATTGCAGGATGAAGGGCCTAAAATGTGCAAATTTAGCAATGACGGAAACCTCCCTAAGGGGGCCCCATCTGACAGCACTCAGTCTCGTTGCCCTGCTGATCGTTGGTTAAATGGGCCCACCAATTGACTTTTGCCTAGGGCCCCAAACAGGCTCTAGAAACGCTCAGTTTAAAGCTGCAGGATCTGGTTTTGTCTCTTTACCTCAGTTGAGAGTTAAATGATGTTGCGGTTGGCAGGATATGAGTTATCAGTGTTTATTATTGTGAGGAGATTAATAATGAAAAGTTCTCAGGTGAATCGGGAGATGAAAATTAAAATCAGTGTGTGTGAAAACAAACGTGTTCTTTGTGTGTCCTCGTGTTTGTTTTCGTAACAGAAACGTTTCCTCCAGAGGCCATGTAGAAAATATGTGCGTGATCGAGTGTTTGTATGTGTGAAGAGAAGCTCTTGGAAACAGAATGTGTGTGATGGTGTAATCTCCGAGAAGTTGAAGATGTGTGTGTTGGCTCCTGCCGGCGTCCTGCAGGAAGTCATTTTAAACTCTGGTCGTGCCGGAGTCAAAGGTCAAAGTTGAAAAGGAGATGAAGGGAGATGAGGACAGCATGACGAAGCAAAAGAAGAGAGGGGGAAATGTGATGCAACTAGCCTCTGTTTTTGGGCTTTTTTATCATAATATATTTATTAGATGATCTTATTTTAATATGGACTACATATTGTAGAAATCTGAGGTGATGCATTTCCTTCTGTGACAGACTCTGAAGTTTTCACTCCAGCTTCTCTGATTCAGTGAGTCTGATGGAAACAAACTGTAAAGAGACACATTCACTGTTTGGAAGATGGTTGCTTTAAAACTGCGTCTGGGAAACAAACCTCAGCTGTTTATGTCTCCTGCCTCTCCCTCTCTGTGGCTCAGTCTCTGCCTCGGGTAAATTACAAATGTCAGAAATGTATAGTTTATAGAGAACCCCATTTAAAGTATGTTTTCTTACTACTGCAGCAAACTCTGTGAGCAGAATACCATTTGGATCAGAGTCGTTCTAAATTCAGAGGTGGTTATGCTCTGACTGCCTGACTTCTTATCGGAGCAGAAAGATGGATTTGTTTGCGGCTGGTAGAATCACACTTTAGTGTTCACCACAACATCAATGATGTTCACACATCTCAGAGCCTGTAATGCATTTCATGGTTTGTTTGACTTTCCTGTTATTGCTACCACATCCTGATATGTATTCTATTCTCATGCCTTATAACCTCAGAATCTATGTGAAGGTTATTACCCATGTATGTATGGACATTTCAGAGGAGAACATCGACCATGTATACAGCTGAGACTATCGTTTCTCCAAAGTAACACGGTGGAATAAAATGTGAAGCCGATTGAGAATAAAACTGCAGATGTAAACCTTCAGCTGTAGTTCTTTTTCCAACCCAGACCGTATGATGATGACAGCACTTCAAGCACAGACATATCTTTTCCTGCTCATGAAAACCTCAGGTACATCCGACAGATTAAATCGTGTTGACATGAAAGTTGTAATTAGAGGATGTGTGGTAAAATTACAAACTGAGCCTCTTCTTGATACCAACACACAGAATCAGATTAATTGGGAAGTAGAGGTCGGATCAGGTTTTAGTATAAATGACATTCTGTGGACAGAAATCAATGAAACTCTATTAAGTTTAATTAGAGAACTTTTTAATGTGTTTGCAGAAACTAACACTGCAAAGAGGAGCTGAACAGAACTTCCTCTCAGTCTGATAAGAAAGTGTGCAAGTGGAGTTCATTTCTGGGAAACATTTTTGAAGCACAGGTTGCGACACTACCGGTCTGAAAAAAAAAAGAGAAAGACTGACAAGAAGAAAGTGAGCGTTCTCACTTTAGTAAATATCTTCCTAAAGAGTTTATGATCTCAATCTTTACTCTCAAGTCTTCTTCAATACAGCATGATGTTTATTTTGTAAACTATAGAGTCACTTAAGAGTCAAATCGATTAAGAGCGGTTGAGCTCTTGTGATTGACAGGTGGCTATTTTGCAGTGACCCCATAAATGCGTTATTCAACTTTCATTGACTGAACTTTGTGAGTAGGTCCCGCATGTTTGTGAATACAAGCAGACGTAAGTTATAGCATTATTCACAGATACTTTTAATAATGAACTCCATACCTGGTATAGTGCATGTTCTTTATTTTCTCTTTGATAACAGCTTGTTGACCTTAAGACACAGGTATGATTATTTTAATGTATCAACCTTCACACTAATCAAGGCAACAATTATCAGAGCTTAGCATCGATGCTATTAAAGTGCAGAAAAAACACACAATTCAGAAAGAAAGTGACATTTAGCAGACAGATTTCCAACTAGAAACAAAACTATTCTTTATATTAAATCACTATCTTGGCACTTACATTTGAAACAAAGCTTTGAATCGATCAGCTCAGGGTTCAACTTGAAAGCTGTGAGGTGTCCTTATATGTTTTCAGTATCCATGCTTTGAGCCCTGGTTTAATTAATGTTGGTTAAGGAGGTGGTAATATATGTGAGTCGACTGATTGGTCCTCAGTCGTCAAGGAAGTAGGCTGAAAGGTTACCAAGGCCTAAAGTGTCTAAAGTAAAACATTCTGTTTTTTCTGCTCTATTCAGAAGCCCAAAAGAAGTGAAGAAAGAAAAAAGAGAAGATGTAAATGTTTCACACAGCAGCACACTAATTGTGTGAATATACTCTCTGAGCTTGAGCTCACTAAACAAACGGGTAAGTATCATGGTTATGTCTGTTACTGCTGCAGATTAGACATGATGACAGGCTGTTCAGGTGTTTGCAGGTTTGGAGCCTCGTGTGACCTCCAGCAGTCTGGTGATGATGTCAGAGTGAGTGGGATGAAAGGTCAGACCGTCCACCTCCATGGCCAGGTTTCCAGTTTTCCCGCTTCTTATCCCAAAACTCATCAGAGTGGAAAGAATCGACTCCTCCTGAAAGAGAAAATTAGTTTTTGTAATGTCCAACACTTTCATTTTTAGCTCAGTTTTGATCTCCATTAACCCCCAAACGAAATATCTGTCTTTGGCCACTAATGAATCCCCTCTGCAACTTGGGGTTAGGACACACCTGAATATTCTTAAAGGCAGGGTTGGTCATTTTCAAAAACTCGCACCAGCAAGTTAAGAGGATTATTTTGTCATAATTAAGAGGATGCAAGAAAGGAGAAGGAATGCATTAAGGTGTGTCACCTTGTCCACAGACGGCAGGTTAGCAGTCCAGTCCTGGAGCTGGTCTTCAGGGGTCGTGAGTCCCAGTCCTTTCTTCAGGTACCTCTGATGGGAGGGGCAGGTATGGAGCAGGTAGAGCCCACAGGCCACAGCATATCCTCCCCAGTTAGACACTCCTGCAGGAGGGAGGAAAGAGGATTGGAGTAAGAGAAGACAGAAAAATCGAAACAGACAAAGGAAGTATTTGAGTATTTAAACACTCTCTACAAAGGACAAAATGGATCCTAGTGAGAAAGACAAGCTTTCAAGAGGAGGGACTCCTAACAAGGACTTTGTGGTAGAGGGGTGTTGGTCAAGCTCATCTGTAGGGGAGAGATGTGTGAGAGTGCCAGAGTTAATTGGAGCTGGGCACACACGCACGCACGATCAAGAAATCACCCGCATAAAGATCAATGAAAAAGATTAGTATGATTAAGAGAATACATCATCATCATCGTCTGCACTGTTTACTCTGTTCAGCGCTCTGTGATTGTTAGTCCGTACCAGCGGTGATGGCGTAGTCAGCGGGAACATCACACGCTATGAGACTCCCACTGGGCATCAAGTTGGCCACCTTCTCCTTCAGTTTACCCATCCCCAACTCGTTTCCTCCGTCCCCGATTCCTACAGACACACAGAGGATTATATGTCCAAGTACAAAGAGGAATATCTATGTAGAAATCAGACAGTTTCATGTTTATTTATACCTTAATTCTATCTTTTAAATCCATGTGAAACAAGACAAGAAGTTTCATGAGCTGCATTTTGAATCCCTGAACTACCAAAGTAATACGTTACAATCAAGACGAGGAGAGAAGAGATCTGAAGGTAAGAAGTGTTTCTCACCTGAGGTGGTAATGCCTGGTATTTCCTCGGCAGCAATAAACAAGTTATCGATGGGATCCACCAGATGCTTGATGTTTATTCCTCTCATGTTGTAGTAGTTTCCGTCTGCAGCTCGTCCACTGCGCTCTATCGCTATCAGGTGGTCGTACCTGAAATTACACGTTGCAAGCAAATCACAACAGAAGTTAAAAGACACAAACATGATGCTGCAGTTTGTTTAAAACTTGATTCCATATTCACTGACTTGCACATGTCTTTGTATGGGAGGACTTTGGTTTTAACCAAAAATGGCAAAAACATCAAAATCTGAAGCTCAAATCAAAAACAATCATCAAGAGGTCCTTTTTATTTAGATCTATTTTTTGGCTTTTGTGCCTTTATGGAGAGATAGGACAGTGGATAGAGTTGGAAATCAGGGAGAGAGAGAGAGTAGGAATGACATGCAGGAATGGAGCCACAGGCTGGATTTGAACCTGGGCCGCCTGCTTGGAGAATCATAGCCTCCATACATGGGACGCACGCACTAATCACTGCACCACTGCACCACTGGGGTCCCTTTTTATAGTGTTCTTTACTCATTTTTTTTATATCTCTGTCTATCTCTGGACTTAATGTTGATTTAGGACTACCTTGGTTAAGCTTGTAAAATAATTCTGATGACTCAAACTCAACTTTAAAGCACAACATTTTCACAACTAGTTCAGCATAATCTCAAACAAATATCATATCATATAACCAGTGATGACTGAAAAAGTAAAACCTGTTGTGATACAAAATAGATTTTTATATCTGCATGAAAAGTTCCTCAATTAACGTCTCTTTACTACAAACAGATAGAACAGTCAGCTAACCTGGGCGTGTGGGGGTCTCCATTGTGACACAGGAAGTGCAGTGCAGAGTCAGGACCACTGTCTTCAAAGGTCACCAATGGGACTTCACTTTTCAGCACACCTGAGAGTAGAGTTAGAGTTATCACACCAAAGAGAGGCTTTTAAAGTTGAATACAGATATCAGGATCAATCATGAAGTATTTAATTTAACTCTTTAATTGCTGTTAACTGATTTCTATCAAGGCTCATTTGAGCTTCTCTCCCACCTTTTCTCACAGCTTCATCAATGATCGCCCGGTTCATGTCCTGCTCTCGCTTGTCCATCACCAATGTCACCTGTTTGCCGAGGGACAACAGCATTGTTGCCATGGCAATGGCTCCTGGAGGGCCATCAGTCTCGTCAGCTGGGCTTAAAGGACAAAGAATAATACAAAAAAAAAATGTTACAAGATTCAGGTGTGTGGAGCTGATCTAAAACTGTGCTAAAAGTGTGTGTTAGGTACCTGTGCATGAAGTGTGTGGGGAAGCCAGTTGTTATGGCAACAGATGAAGCGTGTGAAAGAGCCAGACAGGAGCGCAGAAGTTCATCCTGGACAAATAAAGCTTTGATCCCTCGCTGACCTGAGGACACAAAGTTATAATCTCACATGCAGATTCAGATGACCTGAGATGACCTTCTGATGATGTCAAGACAAATCAGAGCACAAAACAAATCTGAACTCGGGTTCAAATGGCTCAGAGATGGAAAATAGTTTTGGAGCAGCCACGAGCCGTGAAACAGGATGCTGATCAAACGATGCCCACTGAAGGGGCTTGTGTTTGCCAAAAGTAAAGAACATTATGAAGACACATTTTACTCATGGTTACCTGGATCCTCTCCGATAATCGTCTCCAGCTGTCTGATTTTTGCCACAGCACTCTTTGACGCCAAACTGTACATCAAGGGATTATGGGACACTAAAAAGCTGAGTGGGATCAGCTCAGGGTCTGGAGCTGAAGCTGCAGGGTCTACACCCTCACGGGCTGGAGGTTTGAGAGTAGAAGTGGAGGAGTCTGGGACATCCGTCAGGAACATACAGCCTGGAGAGTGACTGAACGCCAGAGGAGGCTCTGAAAAACACAGAGCAAGAAGTCTAAATGATGACCACTTCTTAAGAGACGATGAAGACATGTGATGCATATTGAATTAGCCAATCATATCACTCACTGCTGCTGAGTATTGCTTCTATAGCCGTAACGCCACAGGCCCAGAATACTGGGACGTCTCCGGGCTGCAGCTCAACTGCATCCCCGTAGTCTGGTGAGGACAGATCCTGCACGCCCAGAAGAGCTTCACACGCAAACAATGACACGTTACACACATTGCTGAATAAAGTCCATTTTACTGTGTAGAGCATGTGTGTGTTTGTGTACCTGGGTCTCCTATGTGCACAGGAGCTCCATGTGCCAGTGGGTTAAGGTGTGTAACCTCCACTACTGTATCCAACATGGCAGCAGGAACAGGACGCATCGTGACCACTAGAGGGCAGCTGAACGCTCCTGCAGGAATACAGGGAACAGCAGTCTGCACAAATAAACACAGAAAATACACACATATACAAAAGAGTTTTTCATTTATCCCTGAAGTCTTTAGGCATTCCAATAAAAACAATTTTTCAGTGTTTATATCTGTGGTTAAAAACAGACATAAATTAGACCACAGAGCACCAGCTAGTAAGATTTTGTTCCTGGGTCTCTATCTGAGAAGATTTTCCCCAGGTACATCCAGAAACTGACCACAGGAGCAGACGGCTCAAATAATAACTGGGCCAATGAATTGGTCAAATAGGGGCACTGATAGCATAGCATTTATGTTGCGTGCCCCATACACAGAGGATTAAGTCCTCATCACAGCGGCCGTGAGTTCGAATCCGACCTAGGCCCTCTGATGCATCTCTCTTCCCAACATTTCCTGTCTCTTCAAACGTCCCTTCTAATAAAGGTAGAAAGCCGCCACCCCCCCCCTGAATAATTAGCAACCATCTCATCATCTAAATTGTTTTCTGGTAAACCAGCCGCTCAAAACTCAGTGTCTGCTTTCTTTTTATCGTGAAATTTGATGATTCTTTGTTTTTACTGGTGGTCAGACAAAACGATGTTTCTATCTACTGTATGTCATCTCTGGCTTTTGAGAGTTGTGGTAAGAATTTTTTGTCTTTCTCTGACATTTTAGAGACCAAAAACTGCACATTTATCGATAATATAAATAAATCTTTCAGGTAGGTCTAAAAGAAAGCGTTAATAATCTAATAGCACACGAGTGAAGTTGAAAGAAAAGACACTAAAAAAAATCAACTGGCTTCTCATAAACACCCTCTGTGTGTATCTGTAGCGTACCCTGTACATGCTGACGTTTTTACCCTGCTCCACGTTTCTAACGGGGACTCCAGCCTGCTTCAGTCGGCCTTCGAAACCAAAACTGCAGCCCTGATAGAAACACACCATGTCGGACCAGAAGCCAGGATCCACAGCCTGCTGCTCCGATCCTATCCTGAGAACACGATACAAAGAAAAGTGCAAAAAAAAACAGAGTCAAAGTCATGATGTTGTGAGACAGACTTAAAGCCATGGAATATAAATCACCACATCAAGACCTTCATTTAATAGCTGGTAAAAAAGTAGTTCTATATGATACCAGATTTATTTTGCATCCTATTCATTACTGCATGTATTAAACTCATGTATGATACTTTACAGTGATAGTTTGGACACTTTTCATGTGATGCTCCGTCTTTATATCGTTGGTTAAAATACCTCAACTGAACGTTGCAGCTCTGCAGATTTGGGACAGTTTTCACCATCCGGCCTTCTTCATACACATAGTACTGAGAGATATCCGTCCTATGACAAAGGAGACACACACAAAAAAGTCATTGAAAGCACAGAGACGTAAAAATGCCAGAAAAATACTTTTGAGGACGACATCGAGGATGAGGGATGAGGAAAGCACTCTCATGTTTTGTTTCCTCTTAAAACGTTAAAATAACAAGTTTGTGAACGACCATCAAGTGTTCATGAAAAGGAGTATTTGTCTTTTTGTTAAGTCAATCTCAAAGGCCAGACATTTTGACAACATACAAATTATTTTGTTTCAGCGTTTTTGATTTTAACAGAAATTTCTAAATGACTGTAGTGCATAATTGTTGTGAAACTGGAGCGAGGGAAAATCACATTTTGTTATAGAAAGGCTGGTTCGTGCATTTGCGTGGTTGTGTGTGTGTGTGTGTGTGTGTGTGTGTGTGTGTGTGTGTGTGTGTGTTTAACCTTATGTCTGCATGTTTAGCAAGAGGCGGACAGGAAGTCTCTCCTGGTTGGCTGCGGTAAAGAAGCGGCAGGGGGCGGGATTTTTGTGACAGAAATCTTCAAAGTCATCAGCGAGATGTTTGGGCAAGATAACGACATTAGCCTGCTGGTATCCTGAAAAAAAAACACACACACACGTCTTGAACATGAATTCATAAAATAAAGAAAGAAAAGACTTCTTACCTCAGTACAAGAGTCACTCTGAGAAGCGTCTGAACAGGAATCATTCTGACCATGAACAATGCAGCCGGTATCAATAAACATCAAATCACATGTCAATGCCATTTCTTTAAAACTTTCTCTACCAGCCTGGTTAAAAACAACAAAAACACCTTGAGGTTTCACGGTTCAAGTGAACGGTTCAGGTGTTACCTGCAGCCCTACAGGTGAACGATTCTCACCTTCTGCTAATCCAGACGTGGTTTTGATTCTGGGATCCTCCTGTCTGATCAACAGCCTCAACTCTGCAGGACTCAGAGATTTTAAAGTGTCCGACTTCTCCATTTACAGAGCACACACTTTGTAAGCCACTCAGACTAACACTCTTTCCTCTTCTGTTCTACAGTCACGCTGGTTTCTGGTATTTAAGGAGACGTTTGTTCAGTGCAAACTGCAGAGGCTGCCTGGCTGGCTGAGCTGGTTTTAACAACCCTGCTGCAACAGGTGACACTGTGTGGGCAAGAAGCTAATATGAATATATCAATATATCAAATGCTGTGAACAACCCTTTTACTGTTTCACTACGGTTAAAGTTCATGTGAAGATGTCTTGGATTTGGTTAATCTTTGATAACCGAGAGGTTAAAAAGTTTTAAAACAGAGAGACAAAAAACATAAACCGGAGAAAAGGTGAGCTTGACACAGAGGGAATAAGAGAGGGATACATTTAAATCTGTCAATGGTTCTGCACTTTCCTGTTCTCCTATGTTGTTTCCTTATTCAATTGTATTATCTTTATTTCTTAATTTCATCTATATGGAGCCCCTCTGTGCAAAAGTGGTTATTTTGTGCATAAAAACAACTCATTCGTCACACGTTTTTCTCTGCACAGTAAAGGCGAGCTTGTGCAGTCCAAGTTTACACAACATCTGTACATATGTTATCACATTTTATATTAAAGGATGCCGAACGACAACAGCAGTTGAAAGCTGACCAGATCAGATATAATGATGCATTCACATCCGTTTCCAAAGCTGGTTATTGTCATCATCCTTTTTCAAGTGACGAAATGCATCGGAGGGATGCTGCTGATTTGTGCTAACTTGCAAAAGCATGAAAATAAATTAAAACCTAAATATCTGAGTGTTGACCATTAAATTGGGGCTGTGCATCTGATAGCAATGTAACAGAATGAATGTTGAATGACGTACTTTATCTCATTACACATTTATCACTCAGAAAACATGACATCTTTAATGAAGTCAAACTTTTGTACTTGGTGAAGCTGCCAGTTTGTAATATTCCTGTCTTGCCTTTCTCACAAATGCTGATGTTTGTCTGTTGCCATAGAAACACAATCCACACGGTTGTTCTGCATGGTAACTGCATGTGTTTTGCACAGAACATCTTCTGTAATGCATGCCTTTATAAATAAGCATATAAAGGAAATAATCAGAGAAAATGAAGGCAGATGACAGACTCAGTCTGCTCTCTGCTGCCACCCTGTGGCTCATGACCTGAACTGACACTACACAAGAAATCGTAGAGAGAAAAAAATGTTTAGCTACAGATTAATCTTCAGAGGGTGACGTCTACATGTTACACCAAACATAGCGTTATCAATGATTTCTCTAATGTTAAAGACCTCAAACACCTGCAGACATACCTCATGTTCTTTCATCATAAAAAAGGTACTTTGAACTCTGAGGACATGCCGCCCATACATTATTTCTTTAGTTGTTTTTTTCACCTCAGTCACTCTACTTTGTGACGGGCAGACGGGCATATAAATCCTGCACTATAGCACCCTAAAGTAAAGCCTGTACAATCCTCTTTTATAACAAACAACACACTAAAAGGGAAACAGTAACAGTATGTGTGTGTATCAGTGTTTTACCTGAGTCCATGGCAGAGTGAGAGACACTCCTGAAGTATCTGAGGGAACATCTGGCAGCTCTGAAAGCAGTCTGCATACCTCAGCTAAAGCACAGAAACACAGAGGTGGTCATTCCCTGAAATCTTTTTTTATAATTCAAGTTACATCTTAGAGAGCCTCATCAGGTTTGGTATCACAGCACGGTTTGTCAATCTGTCTGTGCAGTTAAAAACTAAACTTTGGAGTCAGAGAGTGCACAGCTGAGCCAATGGATGCATTCCTTTAAATCCATCCAAGTACAGTTTTCTTGCAATATAAATTCATTGAAAAATGAAAGAAGAAAATCTGACAAACATATGTGTGATAGACCCGTAACAGCTGATAATATGTGAGACTCAGACTGGAGTACCTGCCCTGTTATACTCCATGTTGCAAGTCAGCTTTAGTCTTTGTGGTGTTCAAATGAAACTTTAAAAAGACTGAAAGCAACTTACTGCAAAATGAGGTCCCCCTTGTTCATACACTCACACTGAGTGCAGAAATAAGTCATTTCTAATGTGTCGTTTAGACCCATTTTAAACTGCTGTGATTACAACAGAGGACACTTGAAATGTTAACACTTCAGGGTGTTTCACCTCTAGACTACGACACATTCCCTTCTTCCTCATTTCAAATGTGATTAAATGAACAAATGTGTAAGAGAAGTCTGGGGGCTAAACTCAGGTGAGTTCTCTTTAGAGTTGACAAACCTATTTGGCAGAAGAACATAAATTATTAAAAGTCATAGTAAGGGTCATTTAAAACAGGGATCCATTAAAAGTGTGAGCAAGTCTAAGAAGAGGATAAATTAATAATGAGTCAAACATGAAGTTGTTTCCTTTGAGGTGACTTTAGTCATAGAGTAAAGGAAAGTGAAACTAGACTACTGTTAGATTTATGGGAACATATCACCATTATATAGCTTACAGATGCTTTTATCATATTAAGTACGTGGTACACCACATACACTTTATGACACACATAACTAACATGAGGCTATATTAAAATATATTCCACTGTGAGACATTTTTGGCGATTTGAGTGTCGTTGTCCTTTTTGTCCTCTACCGGCATCGATAGTTTGCATACCATACGACACAGTCTGCTCACCTGTACAGGTTTCTCTGACATCGAGTTAGTAAAGTTAACAGGTCATATGTGACAAGCTAGCTTTTATTTTGTCCTCGTTCCCTGTTTTTAATGCATGAAAACAAACCACAGATCCACGTTTTCTTCTTCTTCTTCTTTTTGTTTTACGACAGGTTGTACTACCAGCTTTCACCTCCATACCGCCACCTACCGTACCGGAGTATATTGAACAAGTCTTGTTTACATGATCTGAAACTACATTAACGCTGGTTTCTCTCAGCGTTAACTTTAAACTTTGATTTTAAAAATAAAAATGAATTCGGGACGTTGAAAAATCAACAACACCACAACTACTTTTCCTGCAATTGTTCTTCAAGACATTTTATTTAAATTATTTAAAAAACTAGTAAACATTATCTTACACTGCTATTCTTTGTAAACACTGGAAAATCTATCTTTCTGAGTCACTTCTTATTTATTTTCCCTGAAAGTAAAACAGTTTTACCAACCTGTGATGCTTTTTATGACATTGTGTTCTTCATCTTTATTGCAGACAGATTACGTTTATTCCATGTATCTACTTTCAAATGTCCTCACATCAACCAGACAAAGATTAAAGTCATTGTCTGAAGCTGTCACACTGAATTTTTTTTTTTTTTTATGGGCTGGTGGTGAGAGATAAACAGTCGTGGTTTATTGGCTTCTACAAAAACATCTGCATGTCCAAACAAACAAACCGAGCTCTGTGATGAGGTCAGTGTGACAGCAGGAGACATGACTCACCTGGTTGGCTTGTTTCAGTGTGGGGATTTGTTTTTGTAAACATCACTATGAAATATTTCACATTTAGACATCACATATAAGTGTTTGTACAGCTGCTGCTGGTTTTAGACTGACTCCTGAAGACACTGTCATGTATAAGTCTTTGTGGATTTTTTACTCAGTGACTGAAGCAGTCAGTTAGTTTCAAAAAGCCACCAACATGTTTACGATCAGGGTAACGCCAAAATTCGGATCCACTGCAGCTAATGGGGACTTAAAACCAAGTTCCTCATTCATTCCTTATTTGAGCTTGAGTAGCTTTTTTTGAGGTCCTCATTTTTCATTTTCTCTGATCATTTGCATTCAGTGAACTGACTGCAGAGGCTCTTAGAATAAGAGCAGAAACTTTAAGAGATGAACACAGCAGCTAACAAAACACAAAACATATTATGTCAGTACCACAGTCTGAAAAATTGAAAATAATTGTAATCATAAAATACAGGTAACAAGAAGAAGAGCAAATACTACTATTTAGTCAGAGTTTGACCTTTGGAGTGGCCCCTCAGGCTCTCGCCGGGTTATGGAGGGACAGCACACAGGGACTTTATAAAAGATGGAGGCGGAGGTTGGAGCTGAAATAGTCAAAGACTGAGAGAGAGAGAGAGAGCTGAGGAACACTGAGGAAACATTTTCTTGAGCCCATGATGGGTTATAGTAAGCTGTGTCTGTTACTGCTGCTGAGCAGCTACACGCTGGCTCGTAAGTAGGAAAGCCTTTTATGAACACAGTTTGTACTAAATGCTGGAAACATTTTAACACATATATAATATTGTAAGGTAATTTGAGCCTCTTTCTTGACTTGTCAGAGAAGAAGAAGTTCAGGTGTAGTTAATGTAATTTTGTCAAAATGTTCTCTGTAAGAAAATGATTTAAAAATGGAAAAGCTTTTTCTGTTGTTGTTAATAACATGCATGTTTTTACAAATAGAAACAGCAGAGATCAGGCAGAGAAAACGCTTTATAGTCTTTTATTTTGGATGATAATTCAAAATATTATGACCTCATTTTTGATCTTAACGTCTTCCTTTACTCTTTCAAACATACATCTCTCCATCAGTGCATGTCCATAGGATCCTGTGTGTGCATGTGTGTGTGTGTTTCAGCCTCAGTGTGTGTGCAGCATGTTTAATAACAGAGGGTAAAAATGTAATTTCTCCTCACGTGATTAATATATTTAGATATGTATATCTCTATCTAAATCTGTATTTAAGATTTACATGTGGTGTGAGGCCATGCATGTGTTTATTTTATTGATTATTTTAAGAGTTAATGCAAAATTCTTGTGTCCACACTTTGAGCGTTTAGTTTTGCTGCCCACCCTGCACAGAACTTTCTCCAAAATGACTTGGATCCACACAAGCCTTTGGCTGGATCTTAAAAGTCAAAAAACGCGAGACTATTGGACAGTGCATGACGTGTTTCTGAATTGTAATCTGTCTTCATAATCTGCACTTTAATCTCCAAACCAGTTTGCACATTGTGAATTGTTAATTACCTGGTTAAATAAAGGTTAAATAATAAATAAATAAATAAAATGTAATCACACCAGAGTTAGCTACTGTAATTTGCATCTGTCGCATCTGTCTACCTGCAGTGAATACATAACAGTGGGTACATGATCTTAAAACAAAAGAATATGTAAAACGTCCTTTCATGTGGACATTACACTTCATAACACATCACATACATTAAAAATCATAAATATGAAGATACATTATATAAAGTGGCACAATGAAAAATGTCCATCAGTATAAAAAGTAGATCAGCATGTGTTCTTTGTTCGAACGTGATTTTTATTCACCAGCCTGACTGATTATATTTCAGCTGTTGCTTCATTTGCAGTTTTGTTTGTGTTTCATATAATCCTTTGTTTCATCATTGTTACCTTGTTATCTTTCCACTGCATGTCTTTTAATACATTTCCATTCACGTTCAATCAGCAAGAAAAAGAAAAACAGCAAAGTGGGAATGAAGTTAAAAAACACAACAGAGAGACGAGACAATCAAATCCAAACCAACCGAGTCTCTTGTATATTTTTCATTCACAAAAATGTCAAATCTAGATCGTCTTAATATTTAAATCTGCAGGAGAAGTGAATATCTCTGATAAAAGTGTTCATTATTACAGGAGCTTGTTTTATGAAGAGTTGTTACTATATTTTCATTCTGGTCAAGAAGAGTCCATGAACTTTTCATCTCCGTCCTTGTTATTTGCACCGTATGTTTTCTTTATTGTAATTTTAAAATTATCTGTACATGTTTGTCTATATATTTCAAAGTTTTCAATGATTATGAATCAGGTACGTGTTGTTCCTTTGTCCTTCTTAATGGTGTCTATGATTGAATGTTTTGTTTTTTTCCAGAGGATGGCAGGGACGATAACGAACAAACTTCATGGTGTCAGAGTGAGTTTCTATCCACACATCAGTCGCACATTCACAACCTTTAAAGTCCGTCTCTAAAGATCTTAAAATCAGCTTTGAGCACTTTTTCTGATTCAGACTGAGAAATAGCACTGACAGTAAATATAGTTGTTGTATATGTTGTTGTTGTTTAGCTGATGTTAAAATTGATTTAAAAGGACAGTCACTCTGGACTTGGTGTGCTGGCTCTCTCTGAGTGTGTGTACTTAGCCTGGATGGAAGCTATGTGGTGTGTTGGTGCAAACAGACACGTTGACCTGTTTTTTTTTTGTTTTTTTTTTGTCCTGGAGATAGCAGCAGGAGCTGATAGACTCTGAGTTGCTTATGATTGAGTACAATAGCTACTGTTCAGCGTTAAGAACATTTAGCTTTCTCTGGGTGCAAAGGTTGAGATGATGTGGAGCCTTCATGGGGGTCTTAAGACTCAGCCATCCTATAGGTTCAATAAAGGATCATGACTTTGTCTTTAAAGGCTTGAAGTCATTGTATCTGCACTGACAGCTAAATAAAGCAGATAAAGATCCTAGAGAGTCTGTGTAATCATGTTGTACCTTTATTGCTTTGCAGTGGGGTCCAGATTCAAGGCCCATAGGAAGTATTTGTACCAGTACACTGCAGAGAGCAGAAACGGAGTGGTGGGCACCGCCAACCTGAGGAACGGCCCGAAAGTCTCCTGTGAGGTACTATGACTGATCGCGTCCCACTTTGCAGAGTTCACCTGATAACAGACTCTCCTTATCGGAGCTCCCTCTCTGTCTCTCTATTGATCCTCTGCCTGCCGTCACATGTCTTTAGGTTGAGATTGAAGTCCCTCAGACGTGCAGATTCATCATGCACACCCGGGACTGCGCTCTCAGCGAGGTGTCCGTCATGGATCCGCAGGGCCAGCCGGTCTACAGGCCTGCCAGCGGCTCTGACGCCTTCAAGGCCGCCATGGAAAAGTTAGTGGAAAACATATTCATGTGACTGATACACATGCAATACACTTTACTTACAGACAGAATACTTTACATGGGCGTCAATGTTCCCTTTTTTATTCTCTCAGTCAGAGCGAATTTTAAAATCATGAATTTCAACTGATGGTTCATTTCAGGCCTGCAACACAGTAGCCAAATTACTTAACCACAAGTCATATTATGTGCATGTTACTTATCATACATTTGATCGTTTCCTTTATATGTCACTTTTTAACAGACACACCTCAAACAGTTATAAGTCGTTTTGGGGCCTAAACTGGGTTTTTCTACGAAAGTGACCCCGACCTATGTTTACCTTAAGTGAAGAAATGAAGCTAAACTCTATACATGTTTACTCTCAGGTTGAGGCCCTGTAGGGCGGATCGATGAGATCCAAAGTCTACAAGTATGTATATGACAGATACTTCATTTAGTGCTAGAAACACACAGCCGGAGAAGACTGGATTCATGAAATGGTATATTATCTTAAAATGTGATGCCATATATTTTGATATAAATAAAAGATAATCAAAAGGCAGAATGAAATGAGTCACTGAGGTTATAACCTGAACCTGCAGCTCATCTCGACTCTAGAACTTCATTATTGTTGACAAGACAAAGAAGCAGAAGTGCTGCTCGATCTCTTTATTCACAAACAGGAGCTCTTCTGATGCTTAATTCATGTTAAAGGGGTGATTGCATGGGTAACAGTTAAAATGCAAGCTGCGACTGTGTTTCAGACAACAATCCAAGACACACTTTAGGATTTGTATGATGACTCAGTCGATCTTCAGGGCCTCGTAGTCAGAATTTTTCTGTTTCGGTCCACTCTTAGGTCGTCATTATAACAGCGGCGAGCTGCCAAAACAGTTTTAAAATCCACTTTAAACACTATCAAAATTAGCAACAATGTTAAAGTTACAAACTATTTAACAAAGAGGAGCATCTGACAGCTCCATCAACAGCTGGCAGTTACCAAAAACTGAGGGTTAAGAGTCAATATGGCTTTTATTCCAAACACTGTCCTCCTATTTCTGAAGTGTTATGTTCAGAGACTGTGAGATGTTAGATCTCAGCAGAGCCAGGGTATGTGGGACATTTTTTTTAAACTGAACCTAAATCATTCCGTCTTTTCAAACTGTATCCCTACGTGGTTTTGTATTTTCTTCATCCAGGAGCCCTCTGAAGTACATTGTGGATGATGCCATCGGAGTTGAACTCTTCCCTGAGACGGACGAGCCGGTCAACATCCTCAACATAAAGAGAGGAATCATTTCAGCACTCGTGGTGCCGCTCCTGGAGGAGAGTCAGAATAAACTCATGGTGAGGAAGCAGCTTCAGTGGTTACAAGAGAACCCACAAGTTTTGATGAAATTAGTTGTGCAAAATCTTTCTGAGTTAAAAGAAGCATAAATAAGCATACTAAAAGTTCATAATGTATTTACAAAATACATTTATATATATATAACTAAAATGAGGCATTGGTCTCCAGCTTGGTGAGTACGTGCAGTATGCTCAAAAGATCATTATCAGCTGCTTGTAGTCTCTCCTGTCTTGCTTGTAGAGCTCCTAGAGTGTACACAGCCACCATATTCAAGGAGAGAACTTTGCTTTAATTTCACCTATGATTGTTTGTCGTCCCTTTCAGAGCACCGTGCATGGCCAGTGTTTGTCACACTACCACGTAAATGAGATGAGGGATATCGCCACAGATGTGAGCGTGTCCAGATCTCTGTCCAACTGCGACCAGTTCAACAGCAGGGAATCAGCCAACAGTCCTCTGGCCCTGCTACAGAAACTGGTGAGACATATGAAGCTGTGTCTCTGACTCTGACTGGTTACTGTTGCCAATTCATAAAACCAGTTTGCTTGTAGACCACGTTACACTAAATTTGCTTCTGAAGGGAACATTAGCTCTGTCCCAATTCAGGGGCTGCATCCTTGGAAGGACATAGTCTATGAAGGATACATGCTAGGAAGCATGTGTAGACCACTATGGTCGAGCTGAAATGTGGCAGTCTGATCTACTAAGGATTTCCTGCTTGCATCAGCTGCATCAGAACTAGCTAACACACCTAGCATAATGTAACTTCATTTAAGTTAAAATTTGTTTTTTTTTTTACATTTGTAAGGATGCAACTGATCGTCTGTAGCCAGTGCAAAAAGAAGGCAGCTATTGTCAGCTGCATTTGATCCAATCAATCCTTCAATAAAGGAGACCTTTAAGTAGGACAGCTTTCAAATCGCCGCTGTGACGCAGTCAGTCTTTAAAAACAAGCGACAACCTTCAGGGCTGAAAAATGTTATATTGCAGCCTTGGGAAGAGAAAAAGCTTTGTAAGAATTTGGTCTTTAGCTAATTTTGTTTCTGGTACACACTGAACATGAGGTGATTTTAAAATAATTTTTGATAACTTTTATGACATATTGGCCAAGAGTTATTCATAGATATTGTTAATTAGGGGCGTGGCTGAGTTGGCTGACATGCTGGCGTGTTGAAGCTGTCTAACATGAGGCTAAAGACCAACGTCAACTCCACCTTTTTGTTATACAATCGACTGAAAGTTAGTCAGCATTTCCAGTACGGTGAAATCCATTGTTAGGCTCCAGAAACATGTAACGTCCATGTTACATAAATACGTAAAAAAGGGTGTGTCAAAGGTTGCAGCCCCTGAAATGGAACATAGCCATAGCAATGCTTTCGTCTGTTTACACAAACGTCAAACATCTGTAGACTTCAAACACAGTCATAAACTGAAGCAGAGGCTTGGACAGGACAGAAAATGTAAATGTTGAATTTTTAAGATTTACTTTATTGATCCCCGCAAGGGGAAATTTCAGTTTTTACACTCTGTAATTCATGAACACACACATAGGCTGAAATATACACACACATGCACAAACAGGATCCTATGGACATGCACTAATGGAGAGATGTCAGAGTGACGGAGCGGCCCACAGTGGGCGCTCCTGAGCTGGTGGTGGGGAGGGGGTTTTGGTGTCTTGCTCAAGGGCACCTCAGCAGTGCTTAGGAAGTGATCTGGCACCTCTCCAGCTACCAGACCAACTTCCATACTTGAGCCGCACCGGGACTTGAAGCGGCGACCCTCCGGTTCCCAACCCAAGTCCCTACAGACTGAGCTACTGCCGCCCTCCTGAACCCATAATCACTACTACATTTTTTTTTTTCTTTTTACAACTTCTGTTCCTTGTGAAGCTCCCAAAGGTTATAAAGGTCACTGCGGCGCTTTTGTTTTTTGTTCTAGTTGTGAAAAGTGAACTTTGTTCGTGACAGTTTGTTTTGGAAGCCGAACAACTGCAGAAACAAAATCACTCGGGGCAACGACCCCTCAAGCCTCCCTCTTTGAGTTATATAGGTTACCTCTCCAAATCTGTCTCAACCTTATTGTGCAAGACTTTGTTTGTTGAATTTCTATGTATGTAAAGGTCGGTTGAGCATTCTATAACTTTGTATTTATTGTATAATATTTTATATCAATCATTTACTTCTATATTTAGAATATTAGAATGCATGTTTGATGTATTTATTGTTGTTGTGTTTTTGCTCTGCAACTTGGGTTCTTTAGCATTTGAGGTGTTTTCAGTCATCATCATCATCATCATTACAGACTCAGAGTCTGTTAGAATATAGATAAAAGCTAACAAGTTAAAAAGACAAACATACAGACAAAACACCACCAAGGCAAATAAGTTATTTAATAATAATCTTGGATTTAACTAACTATCATCTAAGTATTTGTATCAAAGAATCAAAAGAGGATCCCAAAAGAGCCTCCAAAGTCAGCTGGTGAGAAAAACAATTTTTTGCAAACCACTGGAGTCAAATGATTTCAAGCATGTAAATACTCATAAAGGTCTAAAATTCCCAACTTTTTGTGCTGATGTTTTAAATAATCATTCTGGAAATTAAGCCCTCTTCCGTCTAATACCACAGTGACTTAAAGGTATATTACATTTGACTGACAAACATTAACCACGTGGTGATTTTATTCCAGCATCGGCCCATCTCTAATCTGATCAGGGGCACACAAACCTGCAACTACCAGTTTGACAACAAGGGGAAGCACATCACGACAGCCACCTGCCATGAAAAACACACCTACCTGATCTTCTCTCATGAGTAAGTCCTACTGAGTGAATATTTATGTAGAAATAGTGCACATAGGAGTATCGTAACTCCTCTTGCATCACCATCTAATCTGCATTGCAGGGAGAATGGATTATCATCAATGGTGACCCAGGACCTCAGCTTCCAAAACTCCAAAAGGATCAACAACAGAGTGTTTGGTGAGTGACCATTTGATCTCTTATCTCTTAGTGCTCCTTTTTGCGGTGTATCCAGCTCTGTTGCTACCCGTCGGCCACTGTCTACCTTTTTTCAGCCAATTCCACATGTTGAATTGGTCGTAAACGATTTAAACCTATTGTCAGACATTACTCTCGATAAGAAGTATCTCTATCACGAGTGGTGAGCGACAGCTTCTCGTATCATAACAACGGTTTATATATCTGCATTCTTCTCCGTCCTCTACCTTCTCCGTCTCCCCCTTTTTGGAATGACGAAATAGATTACCGCCGCCTGCTGGCATGGAGAGTTTCTTCCTCTCACGCATGCGCAGAATGTACGTGGTGGTTGGCCGTCGGCTGAAGTCTTTGCAGTGTGTTCAAGTGCAACTTTTTGGCCAAAATGCGTTGTGAGGCAACGCTACAGTCGGGCCTTCGTCGCCACTAGTTCCCTGCCGTCTGCTTGGTGTGTCAGGGCCTTAACACTTTATCTGACACCGACCCCCCACCAGCGGTTTCATGCATCAAAAATGACTTTATAGAAATAATCAGTCTTGTAGCTGATGGTCTCTCGTGTTTTTATATGTTATAAAAAGACATCAGTATTAATTTCAGTCTTTCACATGACCAGCTGAAAACTCCTCATAGTACCTTTTAGTATATCTGCAGTGTATAGATGTATGTTCATTTATTGGGACATGTTAAATTAATGTTAAATACCTGTGTGTGCACAGATTTGAACCTTCAAAGCAAGCCACTGCACTTTGAAGACCCCGATGATAAAGCTCCACTCCAGACGAAGGACGCTGTCCTGAGCACCCTGAGGGACCTCATGGATCTTGCAGGCACAGATCAGGGTGACAAGAGGACCAGTCTCTTTCATAAGCTGGTGTCCGGCCTGCGCGTGCTGAGGAACGAGACCCTGAGCCCGATGGTCACGGAGATGATAGGTGCGTCCCCCTGGCTCACCTGGCAGGCCCTGCTCCAGTGTGGGACCCCTGAGTGCACCAGTGCCATCATGCAGGCCATCTGGGCCTTAGATGGAGTGTCGCTGGAGGTGGACGCTCTGGTCTACGGTCTGAGTCTGCAGGCTAACCCTGATGCTGCACGAGTCCAAGATATGCTCAGCATGGCTCAGTATAGGCAGAGCAGAGCTGTCATGTACGCTCTAGCCAACACGGTCAAGATGTAAGTCAACTTTTAGATGGTAAAAATCAGACTAGTTATGACACAAGCTCTTTTTGGTACAATCACACATTCAATGATTTATACTAAATATGGAAGCCCTTTTAAAGTCTGTTAATTCTGGTGTTTTTAAACCGGGGACTGAATTACTCTTAGATAGATTTGTTTTCGTTCCAGTAGGTTGCTTTAGTCAGTAGTTGCAAAAACAGGCTGTTATTTATTCTCCCACATGGACTATGTTGCAGCCAGCTGAAGTGATTTACTGATTTATGTTTAATTTATTTGTTCCCTTAGTTTTAAAATGTATTATACCAAATATGTGCAAATAAGGCCCTAATTTATAAATCCTTGAACTACCCTTTAAAGTACCAAAAAGTCCATATTTATAAAGTTTCTATCTGTGGTGCACAGGTTCCATGAAGGAGAGGTTACTCCAGTGGTCTCAGATGTGTCAAAGTTTATGGAAACCCTTTTGAACGACTGCTCCGGAGAAATCCTCGATAATGACTCTGACTTTCCCGCTGACCCTGAAGAGCTGTCCTTCCTTGTACTGAAGGTAAGCATTATGCTTCAGGCATCTCAATTACATTGTTCGTGATTTAAAGATGCAATTGTCCCAAATTAATACTTTTCCTCTAATGTCTAGGTTGTTGGTGTCATGGGGCGAGCCATGCAAGATGTCAGCCCCAGCCTGATCTCCTCGATTTTGCGGTGTGCTACAAAAACAGAGACTACGTTGTCAAACCAAAAGGCAGCCTTACAGGCCTTACGGCTGATGGATATTAATGATGAGGTACATTCACTTTACTCCCCTGGGTGTTACTCTTTTTTTTTGGATGCATATTTAAGCACTTGCTCCAGCCATCCAGAGCGGTAATTTATCATCCATCACCACAGGTCAAAAGAGTTCTAGCGCAAGTGTACATGGACACTCAGAGCCCCGTTGAAAAACGAGTCGCAGCCTACCTGATCCTGATGAAGAACCCAGACCAGGACTTGGTCAGAGACGTTGTGACGAGTTTGGAGAACCTAAACGATGATCACCTGTTGAGCTTTGTGGTCTCCCACCTGAAAAACATCCACAAATCCAACAATCCACAAATGAAAGAGTGAGTCATACACCAGTAAATATATATGAGTGTACCTGTGGAGCAAATGGATCATTTACAGCTTTAGATTATTTCTGGAATTTGTGATTTCATTTTGGAAAATTATGAGAAAAACCCTGCAAATACTGCTGTATGCTAGCACCAAATTTCAGAGAGACAAGCTCCTCACTAGTTTAAAAATCTAACATCTAGGGGCTAAAGGGCAAGCAATTTTTCTCAGCAGTTGAAGGAAAAGAAAACGGGGCTAAAAGTTTTCACGTTGTAAGATAAAGAACTACAAGTGTATGCTAACGTTCTATGTTTCTGTTGAACACGGGCAAGTTCTTGCTAATTGGTTAGCCTAAACATTTGACCATGTCCAGACAGGCAAACATTTCATCTGAGGCCAAGCTATGGTTGAAAGCTGTGGCTTGAGAATGATGTACAACAATATTTGAGGTTACAAGTTTTGTTAAAGTTTAGAATCATACAAATTACTTCAATATCACTGCTTCCCTGAAGATACGCAAATAAAAATGTTATAACCCATTAGCTTCTGTAGGACAACAGCTAACGTTAGCATTCAACCTTTTATCTTACACTACCGTTTAAGCATCGTTTTGCAAGACACAACACAAACAGATCAAGTTAATTCACCAATTCTTTAAGCACACTCCTATTCATCAAATACTTCTGTTAGCTAGGACACATTAGGTATTGTCCAATGGTACTTCTTAGGTCACATGTCATTCCCCTCTCTCTCTCTCTCTCCCCGACCTCTGACTGTCCACTGTCCTATCTCTAAATAGGACATTAAAGCCCATCAATAAACCTTAAAGAAAAAAAAAACATGTCACTCACAACTCATAACCTCGAAGCTATCAGAAAGTTACCCACGATGTTGTGAATACTGTAAGAGGGGGACGTCCTCTTCTCGTGAACATGGTAAACACGACCCCATTCTGTCTCTCCAAAGTTGCCTTCTTAAGCTTTAGTTAAAGTGTGTTAAAATAAACATGCACAATTGGTTACTCAACAATGTTTCAAATACGAGGTATGAAACACTTTAACTGAAATATTTGGACTACAACAGTTAAAAAAAATGTGAGATTACGTTATTGACATGTTGTTGTTTTGTTACTGAGTCATCATTCTAAAGAAATCATTTTATTCCTAACTAAAGACTCAAGGAGTACATTGAGTTGGCCTTGCAAAAACAGACAGTACCTGATGGCTTGACACAGAACTACAAACTGGACTCTCCGCTGGGCTCAGTCCAGACTAACATCATCCTCGACAACATGAACACCTTACCAAAGGAGGTGATGCTGGAGACCACTCTGAAGGTTTTTGACTACACGTATGACATCTTTGAGGTATGTTTTTAATCCCCTTGGTGAAAAAAATGAAAGACACAAATAAGCTTTGTAAAGATTTCTAAACTTTTAAAATCCACCCCTCATTCAAGGTTGGCGTTGACGGAACTGGATTTGAACCAACAATTGAAGCCCTCTTTGGAGAAAACGGTTTCTTTCCGGACTCCATCTCAAAAGTCATGTACTGGGCTGGTGACAGAGCACAGATGCTCCGAGAAACTTTGGACAGATTGGCCCCCAACAAAGACAGAATGAAGAGACAGGTGAATCATATTTCATGTGATTATTTATGCTAACAATTAATTTTTTTCTGTGCAGGAACTGATACAGACTTGTAATATCTCTCCAGGTTCCAGATAATCTCCTGAAGGAAATCACAGCCGGTGTCCAGAAGCTTTTGCGTGACCTGAGTTCCTCTCCGACCCCTGAAGCTGTTGCCTACCTTCGGCTTCTGGGAAATGAGATCGGATATTTAAAGCCCGGCGACATGAGAAAGATGACTGAGACTCTGTTCATGTACTTCCATTTTTTTGGCAGGATACAGCCTTTCAATGTAAGATTTTTATGACCTGGAATGAACTTTGCAAGAAAACAAAAAGGTAAACATTTGGGTTATTTTTCAAACCTGTTCGTTTCCTATCCATCAGATCCTTTCTGCACTGACATCCAGCACTGAAAATGAAGTCTTTGCACACTACATCTTCATGGAAAATTCCTTCTCTCTGCCCACCGCCGCCGGCTTTCCTCTGAAGTTCTCCATGGCAGGTGTGTTCGCACCTGGTGCCAAAGGCGGCCTGACTCACTCCCGGGCTAACAGAATGGTGAATAAGCTTTACTTTATCTCAGTAAACATGTAAAATAAAACTAGAATCTCACATGTATCTGATTACAGCATTTCTGTCTTCTTTCTCCTTGTAGTCTGAATTGTCCTTCATGCCGTCAGTCGGGCTTGAATTCATCACACAAATGGGCGTGCACATTCCTGACTATGTGGAGGCGAGGCTTGATATGCACACTAATATGTATCATGAGAGTTCCCTCCATGCTAAGGTCACCACCAACAGTAACCAGATGAAACTGTCCTTCCCTGCTCCGAAGTCAAACACTCAGCTGCTCAGTTTTAGGTTGGCACCATTTGTTTCAAACCGTTTAAAACACTTTGTATCTAATTTGTTTCCAGTTAAAAAAAACCTGTCTTCTCGCTGTTTCCCAATACAGCAACAAGGTGTTATCAGTCTCCTCTGGTCAGGCTAAAATAGTGCCCTCTCTGGTGGAGGACAGGACTGACTCGACTGACTGCCAGCCCCTGATCAGTGGTCTTAAACTCTGCACGTTAGCACGCTACTCAAATGCTACTTCCACTGACCAGGCGCCATATTACCCCCTGACTGGAGAAACCAAGTAAAAAGCTCTACATTTCATTGGCAGAACCTTTATTCATATTTTATTTGAATTAATTGAATATATAAATCTGGATTGAAATATGTTGAACTTTTAACTATCCTGATTCAGTCCTCCGTTAATTGAGCCGTGCAGATGGTTAACGGTCTTACCATGAATGAGCGATTTAATAAAACTTGTGTTCTTTTCACAGGTTTGCTGTTGAAATTCAGCCCACAGGACAAATTTCAGAGTACACTGCCACCATCACTCAAGGAACGCTCAGAGAGGGTAAAAAGGGGCGTAATAAAGTAGAATACCTGAAGCTAACCCTAAAGGCAGAAGGTACGTGAATATGTGTGTTTGTGTGCATGTAAATGTGTGTGAGCCAGTATCTCTGGGAATATATCCATACCAGAACCATTTTATGTAGTGAGTCAGAAATAAGTTTGTTTGTTGGATGTGCACTCAGTATGTCCTACGCCCCATCCTGAACTCACTGAGTTTAATCGTGTCTGGTGTGCAATGCAAGAGCGCATGAAGGCTTATAACAACATTAATTGAGCAATGGGGCACACTTTAAAGACATCACATGTTGCCTGGAAACAAGAAAATGAAAATAAAATGTAATGTAGTGAAAATCTAATGAGTAAAATCTCTTCTGTTACCAGGGGATGATTCAATGGAGGCCACTGCATCTCTGAAATACAACTACAATAAGAACACCATCACCACTGAGGTTGTCATTCCCGACTACGATGTGGAAGCCGGCATCAAGCTGGCTGTAACTGACAGTGAGGCTGAAGGAAAGATGATGCGGGGTATCACCATTGATGTCACCAACAAGAACATCCCACAGCTCAGTCTTGTTGGACGCACAAGGTACACACCGTTTATTTGATCTTTTTTTTTTCTCACAAGTAATGAATTGATAAGAATAAATCAGAGATTGAGTCCTGCCATCCTTTTCCTATTTGTTTAAATGAAAGGCTCAACATGATGAAGGACGCCATGCTGCAACTCCAGATGGTCATCCCCTCTCTGCAGGCTGATGCCTCCATCACTGCCACCCTGAAGAAGGATGAGGACATAATCATGGACTTAGAGACAGTCATCAACCTTCCTGAGACATCTTCTCAACAGAAAGCAACCCTCAAATACGGTAACTGCCAGCCATCAATCACAACTTCACCGCAGAAGACAGATTATTTTATTTGTTAAAGGACCGGGTATAATATGAAACATAAAAGCCATTTGATTTATCGTAACAGGGTTCGCTTACAGCTGGTTTTCATCAAAAGTCCCTTGACCGGTCTTACTTTAAGACATTTATGCTGGGGCTGTCAAATGATGGCATTTTTTAATTAATCGCAAAATTTCAAGATTTTTTCTAATTTTTAAACACGTTTGAAATTCCATTATTTCGCAATTAAAGAAAATGTGTTAGGCTTGCACTGTCTTAAGCTTAGAGTACATTACTTGCTGTTTGAATTCAACCTTGCTTTTATTTTGAAATAAAGTAAGGAAGTTCTGGTCTACTAGTAAATGCTGACAGCCCTAATTTATACGTATATTTTCGGGTGAATTTCGAAATTCTCTTTGCAGATCAAGACAAGTTGGAACTGGAACTGAATTCAGACCTGAGTTCAGAGATTCAGAAACTGATCCCAAATATAGAAGATCATCACAGGCAGCTGCAACAGCTCATAGATCAAATCCTGGACCAGAAAGTGGCAAAGACGGATATGAAACTGCGTCACATTGTCACCAAACTAATTGAGGTAGGGGAGAAGAGATTGGACACAGTAATGAATACTTTCTTCAAGTAACATGTGTTTTCTGTCCATTTGGTTTAAGCACATCCGCTATAAAATATGATGCTTCAAAAGCTAAAGCCATTTTTATTTGTTTAGGATCGCAGTCTTTTTAAGCTTTAAGACTCATGCTGATCAGGTTAAACACAAACCAAAAAGACTTAAGTAGATGCAGCAGTAACAACCTTGCCATTATTACACATAGATTAATTTGACCCCTGTTCAATTAGCGGGATAATACATATTAGCTCCTTTCAGAGAGCACTGAATTACCAGGTAGAGTTCAGCTTCTTTTTCTTGGTCATAGAAAAGTAAAACATTTCCAGGGAGGCAGGAGCTGAATATTGAGAATAGATGCTGAAATATACAAAATGAAGTTGCACATGTAAATGATAGCTCTTAATATCTACTAATTAGAGTGCAGTTTACACCAAATTCAGACGACACATGCACATTCGTATGTAAGGAATGTTGATTGTAGTTGATACCACAGGAACAAGCTGCATTGTACATGAGAAATGTACACACCCTTTTAAAAACCACTACAGTGAGCAGATTTTGCAATAATCATAGTACAAAACTCTCAAACCATGCATAAAAGTATTTGTATGAGGTTAAATGTGTTGTATCTATATGTCACCCTGAAGGCCGGTGATATATGGCTGGGAAAATTATCAGACCGCGTCCCCTATCTCGCAAACCTGCGAAGTAAGAGGAGCATCTCAGATCTCACCTTGCCAGCTCTGCCTGAGAAATTGTTTCTTCAGATGTAAGTGTGGGATAAGGAGTTCAACAAACATCCATGCATAACTTGTAAAGATATTTTTTGATGCAAAACTACAGATGGGTCAATACTGATGATACTTTTTTTCCCCTTACCGCCACAGTGACAGCTTGTTTCGATACCAGTTCAACAAGGATAGGATAGCCATCTCGCTTCCTCTTCCACACGGAGGCAAAAAGTCAGAAGAACTGAACATCCCAGACACTTTATCCATGCCTGCCATAAATTTACCAGAAATAGGCTTATATGTCCCTGCGAAAAACTACCCAATACCATCATTCACCATACCCCCTACTCTGGATTTCACTGTCCCTCTTCTCGGCCTGGCTGAAGCGTCAACCAAGATCAACAGCAACTTTTACAGCTGGGAGGGCTCGGTCTCTGGGGGCAACAACACTGTTGATGTACAAAACTACATTGCACAGTACAAGGCCATAGCCCAATCACCTTTCAACCTACTATCGTACAAACTCGAAGGTAAGCATCTTAAGTCACAAGTCCAATTTGTGAAAGATAATCAATAACCATGAGGGATAAGGTAAGGCTTATTGACAATGTCATAGTCCATTGCCGATGGCTTACAGTAATTAACTGTGAGAGATGTACCATTTTTTCCTTCTATTGACCAAATATGATACCTAGATGTGAATAACGGCAGATACAGTGTAAGGCTAGACTAGCAGCATAACAGGGCGGCTGTGGCTCAGTTGGTAGTGTCAGTCACCTCTCAACCGGAAGGTCTAGGGTTCAATCCCCAGCTCCTGCAGTCACATGTACAGTTACCACATGTCCAATGTGTCCTTAGGTGAATGTGTATAAATGGGATCAGTTCCTTCAGATGTTCACTTTACCTAACAACCTCTGCCATCAGTTCATGAACGGATGTTGGTTGGTAGGTGTGACCTGCGGTGTAAAACTCATAAAATATCCCAACATCATGATTTAAATTAGATATCTTCATGCCACTTTGGTAGACACCCCTCAACCCAAGTATGGGCCTTTTTATATTCCCTCAGAGAAAGTAGAAGACTGCTTATACTGTTACTTAAAGCATAAAGATGTATTTTTGTCTGAATTTAAGCTTCTATCTGAAAAGTTAAGATCGGGAGCTCACAGTTTAATTAGAGCTGTTACCATTTAAATTTGAACATAAAATATTTTCATCAGAGCCTTTTGTACATCTATGTTTTGGCTGTAACAAAAAACTGATAGTGGTGGTTTTCTCTTTCTTTTTCAAGGAACTGGGATGATGTCTGGAAAAGCTGATGAAAATTTCAAGTATCTCCTGAATAACTCCTTTAGCCATAGCCTCATTGACACAAGCTTCAGTGTCATAGAATCCGCGACAAGACTGCCAAACAAGTTTAATGCCAGAGCCAACTATAAGATTGAAGTCTCTAGTCCAGTAGGCCTGCAAGCCTCTCTCTACTACTCTGCTCAGTCCACTTCTACAGATTCAGATGAAGTTTATGGAGATGGCACATGGGATGGGTCGCTGAAAATAGGTTCGTTCGTCACCAACACCTCCTACACAAACAGTTACAACCTGCGTCCACTAGATGGAGAGGGGAGAGGAGAGTCCACACTTCACTTCAACTCGCCATTCATCCAAGTTCACAACATGATCCAAGGAGTCTACGCAAACTCTGAGTTGAATATATTGTCCAAAACCAACACCCAAGATGACATCCTCAAGCATGTCGCAGAGCTCAAGTACAAAGATTCCCAACTAACCGTTAAGTGCAACGCTGTGGCCCAAACCATGGGTAAATCACTCAATAACAAAGTTGAGCTTGGTGTGTCCAGCGTAATGGCCATCCTCAGAATTGAGTCACAGGCAGATGATGACCAAAACAGGGTATACTCACTTATAACAGGATCCCTGGGTTCAAATGGACTTGAGGTAAACTCTGAGGGTTCCCTCACTTCTGACACAGGTCGTGGATTGCACAAGGCTTCTGTCATGATTACCGGAAGTGGTTTGACCACCAGTGGAACCAACAGCATTCAGTGCAGTCCAGTTACAGTAGAGAATATCTACAATGGGGCGATAGACAACAATGGAGCAACCATGTCCTCCATGACCAAAGCTATGGCTGAGGAGAGCAAAGGAGAGCTGAACATTGAGGGTAAAATTACAGCTTCGGAAGCCTCTTTGTTTGGTGTCCTGAAGGGCCATGCTTATGATGCAACCACAAGAAACAACATGAATATTGCACTGAACCGAAGGGGGCTAACCTTTACTGGCAACTCCATGGGAAGAATGAATCAGATGAGTACAGAAAATAGCCACTCGTTGACCCTCACTCTGTGGACCCTGGCCCTTCAGTCTAAGACTGACAACTTCATCTGTGAAGATGTTTACTACAAGCAAGACACCAAGGTTGATATGAAGCTGTTTGTTATGTCCTTTGATATGACGAATGACTTGAAGTTTTATGAAGCCGGCTTGATCAATGAAGGCCACATGAGACTTGAGCCAACTAAGATGGATCTGAGTGGAAGTGTCAAGGGAGCCTATCGAGATGATAACATTAAGAACACTTATGAACTCAGCTATGACAACCTGGCAGCTACAATAAAAAACAGCCTTTCTGGAAATATAATGGATGCTCAGCTAAGTCACAACTGTGAATTTGAAATTGCCGGACTTTCCTCCACGTCGATCTGTGAAACAAGATTAAATTCTGAGCCTCTGCGTTTTGACAGCACTCTACGTACCATGGCACTGCCTTTTAGCTTTACTATCGATGCTATTGTCAACAGTGATGGTGAGATAAATCTACAAGGGAAGCACACCGGACAGCTGTACAGCAAACTTTTGGTTAAAGCTGAGCCCCTTGCTCTTGGATACTCACATGACAGCCGGGTATCAACCACACATACGCTTCCCTGGGGGTTGTCTTCCACTAATTTAGACAACAAATTTGAAGGACTTCTGACACCAAGTGACCAATTTCTTACATGGAATTTAAAATCTAAACTCAACGAGCATGCTTACAGCCAGGACATCAATGCTTACAATAATCCTGAGAAAAATGGATTTGAGTTTTCAGGAGTATTGTTAACAGACATTTTCAACAAGTTTAGCAGGGAAAGGAGATCCCCTCCAGAAAAAATCAGTATGGTGGGTTTCCTCAAGTATGACAAGAATAGTGACTGCCATATCATTGAGATCCCGTTTATTGAGAGCTTTCCTGCTGCCTTTGAGCATCTCAAGAACACACTTGTACAAGCCTTAGAATCCTTTCAACAAAACATCAATAATTTAGATATTGATCAGTTAATCTCAGACTTCAGAGCCAAGTTAGATCGGCTACCATCGCAAGTGAGTGACTTCATGCGAGAAATGGACCTGGAGAATAAAGTGAATAGAGTAAAAGCGACACTATCTTATTTGATTGATGAGTTTTCAATATCAATGGATGACTTGGAGGTTGCGATGGAAGACTTAAAAAAGAAGTTGGAAAGTACAGCGATGGACATTGTCACCAGTGTAAGAGGTCTAATCCTCAATGGCGAACATCTTGCGGAGAAGGTAAAAAATGTAGTTTCACAGATTGAAAACACACTTCAAGAATTTGATGACAAGTACAATATAAAGCAGTCACTTCTCAAAATACTTGATGCCATTGATGACATTATCAGACAGATTGATTTACAGAAGCTTTCGGAAAGCAGCGCTGAGTGGCTGAAAGAGCTTGATTCTAAATATGGGATTTTGGAGAAAATCAGAGACAAACTGTCAGAGTTTAAACAGCTCATTGAGGACTTTGACATCAACAGGTTTTTTGAAGACATAAAGAATTACCTTCTCTCAATCGATTTTGCATTGTATGCTGAGCAACTTTCCTCTAAAATCTCCTCTTCGGAGATGGCAAAAGTTTTTGATTCCATGAATGACGTTATTGTCAACTGGATTGATGAATACGAAATCCCCAACAAACTGAACACAGTGTATTCTTACTTTAGGGACTTACTTGTAAAGTACAAGCTTGATGAAAAATTTAAAGACCTCATGGATCAGATGTTGATTCTCATTGAGGGATTCAAAATTGATGAGACTGTGCAGTTAGTGGCAAATACCCTGAAGTCTATTCAATTTAAATCTGTTTATGATAAAATGATGCAACTTCTTCAAAGCTTGACAAGCCAGCTCAGATCAATTGACTTTAAGAAGAGCATTGACGACCTCAATGAAAGCATGTCTTCAATGCTTAGGTCAATGAAGGAATTTGATTACCATGCATTTGTTGATGAGACCAACGAGAAGATTGCTGACCTTACTAACTATATCAATGAGCAAATTAAAACATATGAGGTTGTTCAAAAAATTGAGGCCGTTAGGGAATTTTTCAGAGAGATCCAAAGTTCAATCTTTACATATCTGGAAGGATTGAAAAACACAAAGGTGGCTGATGTTCTAAAGAAGCTGAAAAATGTGCTTGATACCACATTTTTTAATGACGTTTATCTGAAAGTACAGGATATCCTTGAGGACATGAGACAACGCATCCTTGACATGGATATCAGAGATGAAATGTATATTTACCTTCAAAGAGCAAGTGAGTCTTACACTAATATGGTTGCCTTTATTTCTGCACAGTTAAACAAACTGATAGAAAAGATTGGAAATGTTGTTAAAGACAGCGAGATAACCAACCAGATGAAACAAGCTCTAGATACAACGCTGAGTGCACTGAAAAAAGCCGAAATTGAAGTTGCCCCTTTTACTGTACCTCTCACTGACCTTATCATTCCAGGATTTACAATAAACCTGAACAAACTCCAGCAGATAAGCATCCCAGCTCAAATTTCAGTCCCAGAGTTCACCATCCTCAACTCTTTCACAATTCCAGACTTTACCATAGACTTTGATGAAATCAAAGCAAATATGATCGCAATCATTGACAAAATCAAAGGTTTTAAGATTCAGTGGCCTGACCCTGAGGATATCTTTGGTGAGCTTAAAGTTCTTTACCTAACTGAACTACCAGACCTCACCTTTCCAGAGATAACTCTTTCAGAAATAAAATTTCCCGCCATCAACATCCCTAAATTGAATCTGAAGGACTTTGACATCACAATGCTTCCAATTCCAGACATCAAATTACCTGAAGTTCCCAGTGAAATTTGTATCCCAGTTTTCGGAAAACTCCATGGAGAATTTATGGTGACCTCCCCAATATACACTCTTGTAACCACAGGGAAGGTGGAAAACTCAACATCCATACCCGAAAACCCACAGTTCACAGCCTATATCAGTTCGTATGCCAAATCACGTATTGAGCCCTTCGAATACACATTCGAAGCCACTGCTCAGTTGGAAGCTCCCAGAATGGAGAAGTTGCAATTCACTGAACAAATGAAAGCTACACATATGGCCTTCTCTATTGATAATGAGGGATCTTTGATGCTCACTGGTTCCTCTGCTGAGGCAACTGCCAAAACTACTGCCAAAGCCACAACTGGAATATACACAGCAGACTTAGTCAACAATATGGGACTTACGTTGAACGATGGAATATCTGCAGCAATAGGTACAACTTATAACCACATGTTGGAAATTCCCTCAATTGAAACCTCAAGTCAGGCATCAATGACACAGAATATAGCAGCCACAGTGGATTCTGGCATAATTGTTGTGACCAGTGAAACGACTGGGAATGGGAAGTGGTCCATTCAGGATTACTCTGATGAAGGAACACACAAAAGCAAAATTGAGTTCAATGTAGACGTTAACACCGCCAAGTTAACTTTTGCTGAAGAAATGGACTGCAAGGCCTTGAAGTCAAAGAAAACACTAACTGCTGAGTCAGTTATTTTAAGCCATATCACCGTTGAAGCAAGATGTGAAACTGAAATCCCATCTGTCAAGAAGAGTGTTATGACTTTAAATGGAGAGGCTCATGCTGGGGATTTGAAAGTTGTACTGACAGCTTCTCATGATGCCGAATTCACTGGAAATGTGATTGGAACTATGGCTAACTCATTGACATTTATCGCACATCCTTTTGAACTTGAGCTCGATTTTAAGAATAAAGTTAACTCGAAGATTTTCTTCCCCCTTAAACTCACTGGTAAGGTAGATCTCCAGAACGATTATGGTGTCATACTTAACACTGAAAAACAGCGTACTTGTTGGTTTGCTTTGGCAAGATTCAACCAGTACAAGTACAATCACAATGTAACTGCAGAAAACAATGAAATGGACATCTTCTCACACGCATCAGCTAATGGAGAGGCCAATCTGGATTTTTTGACTGTTCCTCTCCATATCCCAGAGATAACCATACCTTATCTCGATGTGAAAACACCTGAGGTCAGAGACCTCTCACTTTGGGAACATGCTGGATTTAAAACATTGCTAACTACTCCTCAACAGTCGTTCGATATGAATCTGAAGCTTCAGTACAACAAGAACCCTGAAGTGCACAGCTTTGAATTACACCTTGAGCCGTTGTACAATGCAATCAGTGATAATGCCCACAACATCCAGGTTAAATTTGAAGACTGCAGAGACAAAGTAGTGACACTTCTAAAAGATTCATACAACCAAGCAAAGTCACAGTATATCAAGCACAAAGTCGACACCTCTAGCATGCCTCCCAGAATCTTCACTGTGCCAGGATACAAAATACCAATTTTAAATATTCAGGTATCTGCTTTCAGTGCTGAGATGCCGGCCTTTAGCTATTTTGTTCCCAAGGAGGTCAGCACACCAAGCTTCAAAATTCCAGCACTTGGTTTCTCTGTGCCATCATATACACTTGTGTTGCCATCCCTGGAGCTACCTGTTGTCCATGTTCCAGAAACTTTAAGTAATATGAAGCTTCCCACTTTCACACTACCAGACATTCAGAACAAAATTGAGATCCCAGCTTTGGGTAACATTACTTACGACTTCTCCTTCAAATCCACTGTGATTACCTTGAATGCTAATGCAGGCCTTTACAACCAGCCTGACATTGTTGGCCGATTCAGTGCTGTGTCTACATCTGTGTTTGAGATTTTGAATGGAAAAATGGATGGCACCACCAGTTTGACAAGGAAGAGAGGAATAAAATTGGCCAATACTGTGTACCTGGAGCATAACAACTTGGAAGCAAACCATGAATGTGCTGTAAGTCTCTCCAAAAGAAGCATCGAAGCTTCTGTAACCAACAATGCAAAAATCAATCTACCCTTCCTCAATCTAGAATTGAATCAGGAACTCACTGGAAATACCAAGACCAAGACAAATGTGGCGTCCAAGAAAAAATTGAAATACATGTTTAACATTCCTCTGATTGAGTCTGTTGGAAAAGGAAACCTTGACATGAACTGGGCATTGGAAGCCCTTTCTTCCTATGTGTCACTGGAGACTTCTACTAAAGGAAAGTCAGAAATAACAACAATGGACAGCTGTACCTTAGCTGGAGAAATAGAAAATGAGGCCACTTTCTACCTTAATGCCAATGGCCTTCGTTCAACTATCAGGACTGCCTTAGACTCAACCATTGACAAACTGGCTAAACAAAAGCGGAGTTCAAACAATATCTTCCAGTTTGACTTGAATGAAAACTTGGCTCTCGAAGTCTCCTTGCGACGTGTGTTTGCTAAAGTAGATTACACAAGCAACAACAAAGTTGATTTGGACTCTTTTAACACATTTGGGAAGCACATTGTTATAGGTGAACTAGATTTTGTTCCTCTAACAACGGTCAAGACAACATTGAACATTGATGCAAGTCAGCCAAGTAGTTTTGGTCATGCTGGACTCATTCAGAACATCAACCTTGCCATCAGCTCAGAGAAACAGTCTTTCACCTGGAGTGGTAAAGAACAGCTGGCATCGCTCATCCATGCTTGTGATTTAGTTGTGTCCAATGATGATTCTAAAATACGCATGGACTTGACCGGCTCAGTAGAAGGCCACCTTGCTTTTTTGAAGTCAGTTAAGCTTCCAGTGTATCAGAAGACTCTCTGGGATGTGCTCAAGTTTGATCAGTTCACAAATATGGAAGACTTACAATTCCTCAACGTGTCTTCAAGCGTTGTATACACAAAGACCATGGACGGCCAGGAGTATACAATACCAACTAAAATATTTGAAGATGGTGTCATTTTTAACATCCCTGAGATTCACATTACCATGCCTTCTTGGTTGAAAGACATTCCTAAATCCTTAAGGGAAATAGACATGCGATTTGAAAACCATGATTTCCCTGATCACCTGACTTTGCCCCCTGTTTTCTCTGTTCCAGCCTTTGATGTACCATTGACAACTTGCATGTGGAACCTTTTACAATTGATCCAAAAAATCTTAACATCCCCAAGGTGATCACAACTACAGCCTTTGAGATCATGCTGCCTGGCTTACCAATAATGTCAGTGCCAAGCTACGATATTAACACAGAGTATGTACAAGGGAAGATGTCATTCCTTTCATTAATGGTGCCACAATATGATATCACAGTGCCCTCTTTCACATTACCCAAGTCATTAACCATTGGAGAGCACACTCTCAACTTGAATGAAATTACAACCCAGATTTCAAACTTTGAGCTCCCAACTATCGTCATTCCAGAGCAAAAAATTGAAATCCCTGAATTTGCTCTACATCTGCCTTCGGGTTTGTTTATCCCAGCTTTTGGAGCCCTCCTTGCCAATCTCAAGGTTTCCTCCCCCATTTATAATGTGTCAACAACTGCGCTTCTGGAGAAGAAGGACTCCAGCCTTCTGACTTCTCTGAATTCAGTTTGTACTTCTACAATGATCTTCTTGGAATACGATCTCTCTGGTAAGACTGGAACTCAATCTTAGTTCATTTACGTGCATTTTTATGTGAAATACTATATCTGAGATCAAAAAATACATCATTTTTCATATTCTTCTGTCTTCTCAGCCAGCGCAACTCTTGGATTTGATAATGGATTTTTCAATCTAAATGGGAAGGGCAACTTGATTCATAGCGATGTTAACGTCAACTGGCAACAATTTTTGACACAAAACCTGAGGTAAATGTTGAATATTTTGTGCTCCTGCAGTCTCTATTAGAGTAGAAATCTGGATTTATTTATTTAGTGCTGTATATAGAAATCTGGTATTCCATTAAAGGAATTTTAATCAGAAAACTCATCATGATATAAAAAAAACTTCTCAAGTTAAGTCAATAGCAGTTATTTCAATACAATTTTGATTTTAGTGGCGAAATCAAGCATGTGTATTTAAAATATTTCCAAATAGACGTTTCTGTATTTTTTATGTCTGTGTTAACGAGACCTTGAAATTATTGGATGACTGCTTTTAGAGCAACTCTAAGAAATGAGCAAGGACCCTTACTTGGAGGTGGAGGTCTGGTTGGTTTGCATAATGTCTGCCTCCCCTCCCCCTGACCTCACCACTCCCCCTGACCTCACCGACTACTACAACCACACTCTATCCTCCTGCCTCGACCTGCTCGCACCAATTAAAACCAAAACAATATCCTTCACCCACTCTGCTCCCTGGTTCACTCCAGACCTCCATCACATGAAAACCCATGCCGAGGGGCCCCCAATGAATTTTTACAGACCCCATCAGACTCTAAAATTGCCACTGAGAGAGGTGAAAGGTCTTCAAGATCTTCAACCAGTCCAGTTGCCTGTGGACCGAGCTTTGAATTGGCTTGTGTATGTTGCTCTGCAAGATAAATTAACCTAAAATCACTTTTTGTTTTCTCAGGATGAAGCGACAAACCCCTCCAGCTGATTCAATGTAAGTTATGTTACGCAAAGGCAAAGCTCTTAAAAATGAATTGAACAGGGTGCTGATAGCCTAGTGGTTATGTTGCACACGCCATGTACAGCGGCTTTAAGTCCTCGACGCAGCCGTTATGGGTTTGAATCCAACCTCTGTCCTGTGCTGCATGTTATCACCCACTCTCTCCTCCCAACATTTCCTGTCTCTCGTCAACTGTCCTATCCAATAAAGTTAAACAAATATAAAGTCAAGTAGTCAACAAAGCCGCACCATAAATGACCTCTACTAACTACTGTTTCTCTTTCTTAAAGGGAGTCTCGTCATACTCTTAATGTTGACATCATCAGCCCAACATTTGCTGATGGGAACTTCCGCTTGACTTCCCGCAAAGACGGCATCACTGCATCGATGTCTTCACCATCAGCTGGTTTCCTTGGGTTGCATTTGCAGCGGAGATCTGCGTCACAGCTGTATGGAAAACTGTTTAGTCGCTACCTGGTAAGTGTAAGCCTTCTTTAAACCTACAGATGGATTAGCAGTATATACTGTGCAGCTTGACAATCTTTTGACTGTATTTCTCATTTCCTCTCTTATATTCAGTCTACTCCTGACAAGGATACTGATGTCTTTACTGCCAAAGCAACTCTGAAAAACTCCCTAAAGTTGATCTTCCAGACATCATGGAATTGGGACTTCCTCAATGATTTGTTTGAGGGCACCAAGGAGAGGATTCCTGCTATCACAGATGCTGTTCTTAAGTTCATAAACAAGTATCACATAGCCCACTTTGGTTTTGATCTCAGCCGTGGCGGCTTAAAGCTGAAAAACACAGTTTCCAATGGCATAGAGAGAGCCTACCACGAGGTTCCTTTATCTTTTAACACACTTCAGAACTCAATCGAAAACATTTTTGATCAAGGAAAAGACATGTACAGGAAGGCTTCCGACAGCTTGATGTCCTTAAGTATGCAAGATGCTGTGGACAGGTTGGCTCGGGATGCTAGGCAAGCCTTGAAACGCAGTGAAGAAAAGGTTTATGCCCTGATAGATGCTGTCGCACAGTTCTTAAGTGACCTGAGGTTTCCAGTACCTGGCTCTGAAGAGAAGCTCTCGGGCCTGGAGATGTTTCAACGAGCTCGACGGTCTGTTTCTAGATCCGTCGAAAGAGCAATGCAAAGATTCTCCAGCCTCATGACAAAGATTTATACGTACATCCGGGATATAGAGTTCACTATACCTGGAACTGCGGTTGTTGTTAATGGAAATGAGATCATGGATAAACTGGAGTCTTTCGGAAGATCTGTTTACAATCAGCTTAGACGTTCAGTGCGCAGAGGATTTGAATTGCTTCAAAAGACAGTTTATGATCTTCTGCAAGTGATTGCTGAGAAAGGGCAGAATTTAATCAATTACCTAAAAGATGAAAATGTGGAAATTGCCTCTGATGTTGAAGCCTTCCATGCAAAGGTTCTGCAGTCTTCAAAACAACGTATAGAGAAAGCAAAGGGATTTGTGGCTGATTATAAAGATCTAACCAAAATGAAGATTCAAGATGCTTATAATGCTTTAAATATGGAGTTTGTGAATAACGATACCGGAGAGATTATCAACATTTTGCAGTCACAGCTCTACGGAGGACTTAATGGAGGTGTAGATCTGATGAGAAGTTTGTCCCAAAGCACAGCGCCGTACATCAGAGTGAGCAACAAAAAGATGGACGTGGAAATTCCTTTACCCTTCTTCTGGAAGTCTTTCAGTGAATGGCCGACACAGTCCAGGCAGTAAAGAATGCCTTTCCTGATGAAGTGTTTACCTTATGCCAGAACAAATTTATAGTCTTTGTAAAAAATCTTCTTTCTTGGATGTCAATAAAAATGAGTTTCGAGGTGTTTTAGCCTGAATGACAAGCAAGTTATTTTTAATGTGAGATTTATTTAAATTTGACAATTCACACAATTATGAGCTACCAATGTTTGCATGGAAGTTAGTTTTTTGATGATGATGTTCAATAAAACTACACTGAATAAAAAATTGTTTCACTCTGTTTGTGCCAACAATACTACAATGCATCAACACTTAATACATTCTTCATTTTACTGCCATCTACTGTTCCACTGATGGTGCCTCATTCAATGAATACCATTATACAGTATTTCTCATTTATAAATAAAAGTTAATGTCAAGCCAAAAGCAGCTGCCAGCTTCACAACATGTCCACAAAATAAATACGTCACCAAAACAATTAAATATTGTAAAATGATGTGTGTCCTAGTTACTGCTTATGTAACAGGGTCGAATATGAAGGTGTCTATTTCACTGTTTTCTTTTAAATAATTAAACAAAATTACCCGGAAATTGTCTGTTTTGTCTTGTTTTTAGTCTGCAGCCCCTTCTTCCTTTGTTTTCTTCTTCTTTGGTTATTATATCTTATTTTAAAATATTTTTATTGAGTTTTCAGCAAACTAGTACAAAGAAATAATCACACTCACAAGAAAACAGCAGGAGAGAAAAATAAGTAAACAAATAAAAGTAACAGATTAGCTTTGTTGTGCATATGCTGCAATGGTATACATATCTTACATACTTAGCATATAGAATACCCCTATGTGTCATTGCAGCAGGATGCATAAATGAAAGCAAATTGATTAATACAATCAGCAAGAAAGGGTGAAGAGAAAGAACATTTGTTTGCATAATAGTCTAAGAAGGGGTGCCAAGGTTTTTTAAATCTCTTCAATGGTCCCTGAACCGTAGTTTAAGAACTGACATAACCTTGCAAATCTAGCTAGAATGATATGGAGGGGTTGGTGATTTCCAATTAAGCAGAACAAGCCTGCGGGCTAATAATGTTGAAAATGCTATCAAATCTGACTGTCTGGATATCCCATTGTTGCTGTAGGGACAACCCCAAAAGTTGCAATAACAGGGTCTTGATCAAGAGTCCGTTCACATATGTATGAAATTGTATTGAACATGTCTGAACAGAATGTGTTTAATTTTGTGAATGTCCAAAACATGTGACCTAAAGTAACAAGTAAAGTTCTTTGGTTATTATTATAAAATCGTTTTGCCCCCTTCCTTCTGACCTTTTGTACAATTCCCTGTGGGAAAGGATCTGCAACAGACTGGGAAGTTAAAATGGAGAGTTTTGTCTGTGCTTCCCTTTGCCACACAACACAACACAGAAATCCACCGGTCACTTATTAAAAAAGGTAAAGTGAGCGTGCTATGTCTGAGTGTTGGCAGTTGTACGTTTTTTTCTTTTCCACTATTAAGAAAAAAAAGGATAATATTTTTAATCAATTTCTGTTTGACATTATAGAAAAATAATTTCTGTCAAGATCAAACTTGTCTAAAAGAAAATATGAATACAATAATTAGACCAATTTGAATACTCCTTAAAATATGGTTTTCTTTTAGGTTTATATATTCAAAACAAACTTTGTGTTCCTCCATTTATTATTTTTTATGAATTGCTGAACTCCTATTCATTATTAAATTTCATTTTCGTCAGTTAATTGTATGTGTCCACACTCCTGACGCTAGGGGGCAGTAACGATACTGTCAGTCGGAGTCTAACCATTTTTTAGAAGAAGGAAAAAAAAGAACCAATCAGAATCGAGGAGTGGCAGAAGCAGGAAGTCCTCACACCGAGCAAACAAACAGGAGAAACAAATCAATGGGAGGCATATCATCGTAATCTTTTATCTTTTATTGAAAGGTAAGATGTTTAAGAAGGCATTGTTGTACTCAGGTAGCGTCGGAACACTATTTCATTTAATTTTCTGCTCATTCTTGCTGGATTTTAACTTGAAATCATGTTTTATTTCATGTCGTACCAAACATATGTTTTAAAATATACCACATTTAATTGGCTACACATTTTTTTTTAGATGTGCACACCTCATAAATATGACTCTGTAAATGTGTAATAACAGAAATCACTCATTCTTTTTTTTAAATCAGCAGTGAAATGGAAATAGCAGCTTTTCTTACATTATCTGTTTGACTTGTGTTACATCTGATTTAAACTGTGTGTGCTGCTGGAAACTTCAAGTTATTTTCGGATGAATTAACTGTTTCCATATTTTTCTAAATGTGGACATGATTACAACACCTGCACAGCTTGCTCTTTAACCCCTGACGAGGATGGTTGACCTTTGAACCCTGCTGATAACCTCTATCCTCTCTTAGAGCCAGCTGAAATACAGAGTTAGGTTTTAGTGACAGTATTGCAACTGGACCCTTGAAATAGATGTGTATTGCTGTAGTTACCATGTAAGGGGACACATTAATACAGTTACTAATGACGTACTTGTTGTGTTTTTTGTCCTTCCAGCTGTAGAAATGGAGAACATGGTGACAGACAGAAGAGATGAACCACAGACAGAGTTTCTCTACTGCTCTGGAGCCGTCACTGAGGTGCTCAGATTTGGCTCCCCTCAGTTACACTCCGGACACAAAGTGCTTTTTCTCATCATTCCAGGTGAGTTGGACAAATCATTTTTTTTTACATGATTAAAGTTTGAGTTAGAGAGAAACTATTTTTCTCTACGATTTCTCAACATGTCCAGTACTTGTTGCATAAATTGACAATAAAGAACACATTATTTTAATATAGACATGAACATAATATCAACGACATTTTGCTTATGCTATGTGTCCAGTCTTGTAGAGGGGCCCTTTCTCAAAGATCTAGATTCATGGGTTAGATGATTTCATATGCATATTTTAAAGTATAACCACCTAAATCTGTTACATATTGCATTTTGCATATTCCCTCTAAATCCACCACAATCAAAGGTGTCACAAAAATTCTTACTAGCCCCCCGGAGTGGGAATCACCAGAGGCCCCACCATACCGTATTATCACAAAACTTCCTGATTCGATATTATTGCCATTTTAAACATTTTATGATATGCTGAGAATTGAGATACAATATGTTGTTTTAAATCACAAGCTCCTCTGAGGTATCTAAACATCATGCTTTATACCACTTTTCCTTGTGCTGATCTTCTGCTTCCTCCCTAACAGGTAACCCAGGTGCCGTCGGCTTCTACAGAACCTTCATGCAAACAATTCACAGTACGTTTGGATACCAGCACCCGGTGTGGGCAGTAAGCCACGCTGGACACTGTGTACCCCCAGATTCTATGGACATGATAGAAGGTATGCACACTTATTGTAACCCTAAAACACACACAGTGAAAGTTCAGAGGAGAAAGGACCAAGCAGCAAGTTTAGTTTTCTTCCTCTTCATGCAGATCCCTCCTCAGCGGCAGAGGGTGACGTGTTTGGTATCAGCGGGCAGATCGAACACAAGTTGGCTTTCCTCAGGAAACATGTCCCCAGAGAAACCAGTCTGGTGCTGGTGGGACACTCCATCGGCTGTTACATTATTCTGGAGATGATGAAGAGAGATCCTGAACTCAAGGTGAGTCACATGTTGTTCATTTTTAGGGTTACATATTACATCATCTGACCAAAGACAACAAAATATGTATCCCTCCAAATCACTAAAACCATCTCAGTGTCACACAGTAAAGAGAACGGATGCTGTTTTTTTCATTTATTAAGAGAAAAAAAATCTTAAAGCGAGCAGCCAGTCAGATACTTCAGATGAAAAAAAAACTTGTGCCATGTCAGGATTGACCTGTTGTTGTCTCTTAATCTTTTACCTCCTTTGATTGGTCTGTTTTGATTGTGTGTTCTGTAACCTTCCTGTTTACAGATTCTAAAGGCTGTCATGCTGTTTCCGACCATTGAGCGCATGGCTCAGACTCCTCAGGGGAAGGTCATGACTCCTGTGCTGTGTCAGATGCGCTATGTGGCCTACCTGCCAGTCTTCCTGCTCTCTCTGCTGCCCGACCGACTCAAAACCAGTCTGATTAAACTGGTGTTCAGTGGCATCAAATGTCTGGACCAAACTGTTGTCCAGCCTACTGTAGGTCTGCTCAGTGGAGACTGTGCAGGTGGGTTATTCTTAAACTCCTGTGATGCTTATAATGTGAAGTCTTTTTAGACTGTGTGTTAACACTATGCAGGGCTGAATCAATGTATTTAAAGCAAGAATGAGCGACTTGTGTGACGAGTCTTTGCACATCATATTTAGTGTTTTTTTTGCGACTCAGATAAATAAGTGATGTGCGTGTGTTTGTTGACTTTCTCTTTACAGCTTGATTCTTACTGCATTATAAAAAATATGTAATTGAGTGTAGACCAAGCGGCAACCTCCGGTGTTGAAAAATGAAGACGATGCGGAAGCACACATTCCTGCAGTTTGTCGAGTGTCCACTAGAGGCAGCCTGCAGACAGACAGGAAGTCACATACACACCCATTTTAAAAAAAGCCTGTTTTTTACAGCAGTAATTAACATGTTTACAGCATGGTATGAAAAATGAAAGATTAGCTCATGTCTCGATTGGCACACACTGTATGGAGGGGGATTTTGATGACTTATCCGTTTTGTTTTTATGAAGTATAAGAGTTAATCACAATAAGACGCGGAGCTGATGTGACAGGCGAGTGTAACGGTTTGTCAGGAGGCTTTAAACCCGCCTCAGCTCCAGCTCTCAGCCTGTCATTAGGTTGACTGAAAGTTAGTGTGAGACAGGATTTCCAGCATGGAGATCGCCATCGATGAGACTCCAGCTCCCCCTGCAGGAACAGATTGATGCCGTGACTCATAATGTCCGTTAATATTTACAGTCTATGGTCGGCACCCAAATCAAATATGAACTGCCCGTCACACCTTTGCAATAACAGAGATGTAAAGTAGATACATGTTGGTTGAGATGAATGATAAAATGCATGTTAAAGAGGTTTGACACTTTGAGCCTTGATGTTGAGTGTCTTTAATAGCAGTGCCTGTGTTTGTGTTTCTTTCTGCAGCAAATGCTATGTACATGGGGGGCCAGGAAATGAGGAAAGTTCTGGAAAGAGACAACATAACCATCATGAACAACCTGGGAAAGGTAAGAAAAGGACCCGTTAATGTGACTAGTGTCTGCACTTAACCACATAATCACATCAGACATAAAATCATCTTTGCTTGAATTCATGTGTTGATGTTTGTGTTCCCACTCTCAGCTGATATTTTACTACGGAGCCACAGACCACTGGTGCCCCGTTCAGTATTTTCACGACATCAAACAGGACTTTCCACACGGAGATTTCAGGCTGTGTAAAAACGGATTCAGACACGCCTTCGTCCTGGACACTGGGAGAGAAGTTGCCAAAATGGTGGTTGAATGGATCCGTGGAGATTTAAGGACATGAATCTGAAAATATGTGATATGAACGCTGTGGAAGAGTCTCAATGTCCCGAGGCAGAGGGCGTTTTTTTATTTGCAGTGGTCAAGCAATGGAAAAGAGAAGGAGAGCTTGATGCAAAGAAAATATCAAATATAAACATACTAATATATTTTTATTGACGTGGTGTTGAGCTATTCATTTAAACTGGCCGCTGATATAAAGTGGTTTCACTTTTTAGAGAAGTGATCAGTGTTGTATTTATACATCTAAAGCACGATTGTAGCACTTATTAGTATTTTAAGTGCTAGTTTTCACTTTGACAACTTCATTTCACATTCCTCTTTACAGTTGCGAAAAAGATGTTTGAGTTTTTGAATCTACCTGAACAATGACTTCAACAGCACCTGCAATTAAGGTTGTCAAAATGTTCGATACTTTTGGATACCATGAGTTTTAAATGCTACAATTTTAATGATCGAGCCCGTTCCGATAATATCGGTCGATGTTAGCATATCCAGTTACTATCAGTATCGGCTAACTTTATCGCACATATGCGACGATAATACTCGATTTATTACCAGTCAAACTGCATTATCGTTGGATTACACTAGCAGTTCTCAGTAACCAGCAGAGGGCGCTATATGGATTACAATAAGCGTTATTACTCCAGAGTGACAAGCCGTGGTGCACCTACATGCAAAGTTACTTTCCTGTTGAGTGACCAGCTTGTCTTGATTCTGTAAATCTTCTCCACAATGTTGATAACTGCTTTTGAGGGATCAACTCATTTGATCTGTTTATTGAGATCTATTTATCTCTACAGATCGAACATAGATTCAAAAAGATATCGGCCAATATATCCCAGAATCAGACATTTTTCCTTCCCAATGTCGATATCGGTAATGGCCCCAAGAATTTCATATCGGTCGGGCCCTACTTTAAAATACTTCAGATCTTCAGTCGTACTCTTAAACCCAAAGTTGCCTGCGGGGTTGAGATAGAGAGAAGTGGTGGTCACAGGTCAGTTCACCTGGATCATATTTGTCATGTCACTGACTAAAGTGCACAGATAAAATGCCAATGAGTTTGCTTGCAATATTTTCTTAATTTCAAACAACATCGGGTGCCTAGGACCTTTTTGTGTTGTTGCCATGGCATCCAGACGGGTACTGATATTGTTTGATTCTCACCTGTATCATACTGAAGTTTAAAGTTGTGGTGCTGTGAAACACATATGCCTTTTTGATTTTCAACCTATTTTCATCCACCGTGTCTGTGACACATCAGAGCTTCTTTTATCAATAAAGGAACGAGAACTCCTGGACTGACATATTTATTTCAACAAGAGCATCACAAAGGTGATAAGAACCAGTGGAAAAATACGAGACACTTTCAGGTTTGTGAAACTCTACAGCGAGCTTTGACAAAAGGTTTATTTAATGTTTGCATGACCGTTGGACATTGAAAATTAGAACTAAATGAAACTCATGACAGCGGAAATGTCACTCAGTTGAGTTTATTGCAAAATGTACCAACTCTTTAATTTGTTCATGTATCTGTGTTAAATGTTTATGAGGCGAAGACTGAAACGGCAGTATACAAACATTCTGCCTATAATGACCTGAAAATTGGACTTTTTTTTCCCACAGGGACAATAATGTACTATATATTTAAAATTTTAAAGTTTTAAGAATTAATGTTTATAAACTCATTTAATTTATGCAAATAAAAGCACACTATCTGTATTTTGAAGTGATTGTAAGATTTTACAGAGAGCTGAGATACACACCTGACCTCTCTCTCTGACCGATCACAAAGCTAACGTCCTCTCAAGCAACAACGACTGCTTTTTTTTTTTTTTTCATGTCTCATCAGCATCATCAGAGTCACAGCTACTCCTCCTCTTCCTCTTCCCACTGTCCTGATCCTCATGTCCTTCATGGTACCCGCTGTCTGCCCTGCTCCAGTCCTTTGTTGAGACGAGGGGGTTTCCGGGAAGCTCTGTCCCGGCCCCAGCACCTGCCTGACAGTCACATTCACCCTGGAGCTCTGGATGTACCTGCTGCACACCTTCCAGTCCTCCTCTGACACCGGCTCCACCACAGAGCCGTCCTGATTGGAGGAAGCCGGGCTGCAGCACTCCGTCTCTAGAGCCGCTTGTCCCTCAGGAGCTGGAAGGATGCGCGGGACGGCGTGGTAAAGCAGCCGGCTCTCTCCAGACATCACCATCATGTCCCCGCTGTGCATGAACATGGCTGTAGGGGGTCCTGTCTGCGGGTTCCTCCGAGCAGGAAGATCGACGACTGCCCGAAACTGCCAGGAGAAAAAAAAAAAAAAAACAAGTATGGAATATTTTTCTGGTGCTAACCAAGCAATTATCACTTCATCTTTTCTGAATCTAACCGCCTGAATTGGTGCTTAAACTAAACAGCAACGACTGCATAGGTGTTTAGATCTTGACGTGTATATTAATACCTTCCTAAGCAGTGGGGGGTTTGAAATTTGAAAACATAGACATGTTTTAAATACTTTCGTTATTACATTAGAATTGCTCAAGTTCATTTTGGCCGGCAGCTGTGGATGGGTTTGTAATGGCTCATGTGTGATCCTGAGGTAAGACCAAGCTGAAGTGCAGGAGGAAGCAACAGAGTCCTCTATAAGACGCTTTAATGGGAATATTTGCTTTTATATCAATGCTACGTGTAGTTCAACAGAATTACAATATGACCTGAAGACTGGTGAAGAACATACAGACGAACAGGAAACATAATGCAGCCGTTTAATTTGTGCACTGTGCAGCAGTCACAGGATATAACGTCACCACCCTCTCCCACTCGCTTGAGGGGAAATATCGGGACATTATCCTGCTGCGTCCTCACATCAGCTCACTCAGACTTACTGCGGAAAAAATACTAGGGGTCTGTCAGGGGAAACTCCGGTTGAACTGTGAGTGCAACAGCTCCTCCTGGAAACATCAGGAGTTTTCTGCAAGTGTGAACGTCCTATAAGAGCCTTTCATGGTTGAAAAAAAAGATCCTTCCTAGACAAAAAAGGTAATCTCTGAAATGATCATTCAGTAATACAGTGGAAGAATCCAGCACCTTTAGTGGACTCATTTTGATTGAGCTAATTTGGACCTGAGGACATTATGGCTGACTCATCTAGTTGAGCAGTTCTTACAGCCGACTCTAAATATGAGGAAAAAAAAAGACTGGAGCACTCTTCCCCCTCTCACCAGAATGACAGCAGGGGGCGGCTGTGATCCAGTTCCGACTCATCCACGTGGATACCCAGAGAAGAATCCGACCTGTAGTAGTTGAGGATGCCAGCCTCTGCGTTGAACCCTGGGAACCCACAAGCAGCTGTGACATGTTCGGACAGTGAGTGGAGATCTTCAGGGAAGGGAGTGTGATGATCGGCAGAGTACGTCTGTGAAAGAAACGACACAGGAAACATTTTGAATAAAATAAAACGATGACCTCAAAACGTTAGTGGGACTGAAAACAATGAATGTTTGTGACAGGAGATAAAACGATGTGTAAACGACAAACATAAAGATCTCTCTGTTCAGCTCTAATGAAGGCAAGGACTTTAGAGTAGCTTACCTTTGTATCCCAGTTGTAATGATAGCCCAGAGTGACCCAGCGCAGCTTTTCCAGAAGAGTCTTTGGATCTCTTTTTCCAGACGGAGAACTGTAAAGGGGGTCAAAGGAAAGTTCATTCATGACGCATCACACATACTAGCAGTTATGTCAATCTACTTTTTCTAATTCTAGCACAGAGACGGTTAACTTGTCCAGGTTTTGGATCACAAAGACCCAGTTTGAATCCTCAGAGGTGGTTAAGGAGCACATCTGTTCTGACCTGAGGCCACGCAGACTCTTCCCCCAGATGTCCTGCGTTTCAGACGGAGACATGTGCATGTCCAGGTTGCAGACGTTGGGCTTCTGAGGGTACGTCTTCAGACACCGTCTGACCCAGGACGGCTGGGAGCCCAGCAGGAACGGGTTAGAGATGAAGATGAATCCTGAACAACACAAAGGCATCCTGCTGATTGACACACTGGAATTCTGTGAGCTATCTGTTCTGTTTCAGATAAACTCTGTCACGATACCAGAGCTTTAAATGTTTACTTTAGTACTGCTTTACGTGTATGATAATAAATATTATCTATTTGAGTTTTCTGTCCATCTTTCCTGCAGGTACCTGGGAACCCCTGCAGACCGAAGGCTCTCCATTCCCTGACAGGTCGAAGCCCAACCCGTGCACCCTCCACATCACTCACTGCAGACGGGTCCAGTTTGGCTGGGACTATCTGTCAATCACACAGAAACAAACACACTAAAGGAAACATCCAATACAAGTCCTGCAAATTATCTACACAATTGCCAAAATACTAAAACGTTTGCAATATTTGTGTGCACTTCAGACAGTGCTCTTTCTACTTCATCAAGGCAGCTTTTGGATGAAATCATCAGACTGAAGATCTATATGTATATAAAACATTCCTTGTTTTCCATACTAAAGGAGATATCGTTCAAGACAACCTTAAAGGTAAATCACTTTATTATGCAGCCTGTAGACACTGAAAACCAGAAAACCAGACTGCTGTTAAATCTGTGACCGAGTAAAGTCAAAATGTCCCCTGGCTGTGCGCAGAAGTGTCCACACAGTTCAAAAACATCAGTCTGTCTAACTCAGCCTCAGTCATGTTCTTCTCTTTCTGTTTTTCTGTCTCTCATGGACACTTTCCCGACACCTTGTCACTGGGTAGACCTCTGGAGAAATCAATCACATCGCTGAAATCTGGCGGAGGATTTCTTCTCTTGTAGAACTTGAATATTTTTCTAAATGCATCTTCTCCACTCTCCACCATGGCAGCCGCCATCTTGGCCATGACGTAACCCGCCTGTCAACCTCTTCTTCTTCTTCTTGTTCCTCAAATGAATTTCTGGCAGGCTGTACACTTTAGAGTATAATGCTGCCCTCCACAGTCTAGGAGTATGTACTTAATTCATATCTTATAATCAGGCCAGTAGCATCTAAAGCCGGTTCCAGGGCGTATATATATATATATTAATCTATTTTATTTTATTTTCACAGTTTTTTAAAACTTCAATTTAATTGAATACGAAGATAAGTATCTACCCGTTTTTATTTAAAGCACAAATGATGACCTAAAAAAAGTATAAATCATTATAAATTCTACATAAAATATGTTAACAACAATAATAATAATAATAATAATGATAATAATAATAATGATAATAATAGGTTCATTAAAAGCTCTGACGATAAACTTTTTAGTCCTGCAAATCCTCCCAAAATGTCATGGAGTACATACAGCAGAAAAAAAGATGGTCTGTTTTTTCAGTTCAGCATCACTAAAGCTGCAGGTGTTGTGATTGATATTAAATAGTATTCTAATTCATTGGATATATCAATATTTAAAAAAAAATTAGGAATATACTTATTTAATTGAAATTGTACTGAAATTGGTCTGTTAGCTGAGGTGCCCTTGAGCAAGTCACCAAACCACTGACTGCTCAGGCGCTCTCTCATGTGCAGCCTCTCACTCTGACATCTTTCCAAAAGTTCAGGATCCTGTTTGTACATGTGTGTGCGCTCCATCCTATGTGTGTGTGTAGCATGACACAATGACAGTGTAAAAGTAATTTTCCCTCGTGGGACTAATGATATGATATCTTCTTCTCCTCTTAAATTGCACAATGTACTCTAGAAGTTAACATAATGTTGCACACAGGACTACGGAGTGACGTAAAGCCTTGTGTGTGTTAGCATTTGTATCAAAAGTAAAACTTTTAAGTAGCTGCATTCAATTCAGTTATAAGTCATAAAGGTTTTTTTTTATGTATAAATTAAAATAGCACAATTTAAAAAACTAGAGAATTAAGTATTTAGCTAATTCCAGCAGAGGGCAGTAATGCGCGGAATGAATGAAGCTGCCGCTTTAAAGAAGTAGAAGAAGAAGAATTGTACTTTACGGAATGACGTCATAGGTCAGACGCACAGTACACGAAACATGGCGGCGCAAACGAAGAAAGTGTTCGAGATTTTCGTGACTAAAGTACCATGGACCATATCCTTCAGTGAGTGTATTTAACATTTTATTTCATATTTAAGATTTAGACCAAGTGACGTCTGCGTCAGTAGCCTCTAGCTTAATGTTTACACTTTATTATTCCGTCATCAATGTTTAGTGCGTTAACCTCTGCATGAGGAGACCACATGATGTGCAGGATGACATTGAAACAACAACATACTTGACTTTGATAACAAGTGAACTGTTCCCTCTCTAAAGGGAGACATCCCTGCAGATCTATTACCTTTGTTGATACAGGTGGATCCCAGAGGTTACACAAGGCTTGTTGAATAATGCTGCATCACTGCTGGTAGCTCACATGTGTATATATATGAACTCACAGTTTGTTGTCCTCTTTGTTTGTTTTTCAGAGGAGATGAGGGAGTACTTTGGACAGTTTGGTCAAGTTAAAAGGTGTATGATACCATTGGTAAGTTCTATCTCTGTGCATAGTTTTTGTTTAGTAGCTTACATTTAGTATTTTACACAATTGATTTATTGTGGATTGTGTATTTTTATTAAATGATAAGAACAAGCTGTTTCCTTTTTTGTTCTACTACAAAAAAAATACTTTATTTCTCCCAGGGAAATTTGTAGCTAGAAGTTACATGGATGGTACATATAGCCATACATGAGTTGCCACAGAAGTGAAAAAGGAGACTGTAGTGTTTTGTAGCACGATATGTGACAGTAATTATAAATGTTATCTCAAAGTTTGATCAGACTATAAGTACTGTTCACTGCAAACTGTTCTGTTAATGAAGAATCTGGGTCATGGTTATTGATCACAGTTTTCCATTAGCTCTATTTTCACCCACATTCAAACCATGATGTCAGTGATATATGTCCAGTGTGTGTAAAAATCAACGTTGTTTTTGTGTGTGTGGCATCAGGACAGGGCAACAGGCTTCCATAAAGGTTATGGCTGGGTTGGATTCTCATCAGAAGAAGGATTAAACAATGCACTGCAGAAAGACCCCCACACTCTGGACGGAGCCAAGGTAAAAGAAACATGATCTCCGTCACCAGACAAGGTCTCATGGTTGTTGTTGGAGTATTTGTCATTACAACAAAACAGCACATAAGACAAGGTTTCTGAAGTTTCATCAGAAACATAAAGATATAACCAGGCTCTGAATGGAGGGTATTCTACAAAGCAAAGGTAACTTCAGGGTTAACTCTGGATTTTACAGTTTCACTCTGACGGTGGTTCACTTCTTACTGAGGTAGATTACATCTTAACTTAGGCACAACACCTCACCTGCTCTGGAGCAGGTTCTGCTCTGGGTGTAACTGTATGAAGCTCAGCCAATCAGATCTCTTGATCACAGACGTCTGTGAGCTGATAGTGAGAGGAGAGAGAGACCAAAAAACACTTTGTGCTTCTCGTATGACTTCTCATATAGAATATATTTTAATGAAAGAATGCTTTGTCCTATTTCTTCAGACTGATCAAAGCACTGGAGATGTTTTGAATTTTTAAGATTTACATTAAGCTTACTGAATGCTTTCAGTGATGTTCTTTCTAATCATTTTTACAAGCCCCATACCTTCATATAACTACGTCAGACATGCTACAAGGATTTTAAGATCTGTTGTGCACTTATGATAATAAAGTGATATAATAATCCTTTTAGAAGCACTTGCATGCAGTGGTTTTTTTCAACCAGTTCGTCCTGCATTTGCTGCTGCAGCTGTGTGATTTTAGTTTGGTTTATGTGTTTAACTTCTTGATATTACACAAAAATCATAGTTTGTTCTATGTTTGTGAAATATGACATCAGCTGGTCGTCATATGCTGCCGCCAACTCAGACCCTCTGATGTGAACACGCTCTGAGAAACTCGTGTTTTTACTAAAAATGCAACAGATAAAACGTGTATTTGTTGTCCCATTCTGATTTGCATGTCGACTATCCCCTTTCCTATTTGTCCTTTATTTCTTACACTTAACAGAAGTTATAAATATTATTATGATAGTTATGAAAGTTACTCTAAAAGAGCTTCAGCAGCAGTAAACTATGCTCAGTACCTTTATTTAAAGTGTACTTAACATAACAAAGTTTCAAAAGACATGGGTCAAAACCTGAAAAAAGCATGTGTGTATGATAACCTGAACTGATTTCATCTTTTGTTGTCGTTGTTTTTTTTTTAGCTCCAGGTCCAGAGGAACAGACGTCCGTTCACAGATCAGAAGACAAACAAAGACAGTGAATTTGACTGACTTTAAAGCAACAAATTAAAGATACTCTGTTGAAATTCTCAGACACAGAGTCTCTCAGTCTGCACCAACTGCTTGATATGTGACATGTTTCTAAATCTGTTTGGGCCCATAGGAAACTTAAGACCAAAACACAACCACTAGTGTTTAATTTTCCATTCTGTATTCTCTGTTGGGCCCCTCCCTGAGAGTTTTCCTGCACATTTAGGGAGTTTGGGTCCGAGCATTTTTGTTTCTGTACTGATGGACACTATACAAATAAAGATTGATTGATTGATTGATTGATTGATTGATCGATGGGATGAGCAGCGCTAATGGTATGTCTTTATTTATTGTCAGTGATGGCGCTGTGCTTCCTGTAACAATCCTGTCACATACTCTCAACAATACAAAGCAGGTTTAAGCTTTCTTGAAAGGTCTATGAAGTGTTTGGCAATAAAAAAATGTGTTTTATTCTAATACGTGTTTTTTTGTTTGATTTGATGTAGTTTTTCATCGTAGGGTTTTCTACTTCACTTGAATACTTCATCTCTACCTGTGGAAACCAAACTAAGAAAAACTTTTGGTAACCAGGGGGCAATAAACTCTTTCTGTCAAACAGGCACTCCAACCCAATAACACTCTGAAAATGTTCCCTCAGTTCTTGTTTCTATTTCTGACATGGTTCGCTGTCCAGGAGAATTTTATTGAAACAAATGTTTAATGCAACATTTTCTATAAGACACTCAGGTATCACTCTTTAATGATTACTCCTTATGATAGCTGAATGGTAAATATGTTTGTTTTACTCACAGGATAGGTTTGGATGTCATGGTTAAGATGAACAGATATTTCAAAGAGCTTCACTCGAGTCAAGCTGTCACTCCTCAGTTCTTTTTTTCCTCTGACCTCATATGACGTTTAATTGCGTCAGCCATTTCATTTTCAGAACTCTTGAAATTAATAATGGGCAAAAATATAAGGATTATGAAAACCTTTCATACGTACTCCATGTCTTTAGCAGGCTGTTTATTACTTTTATTATTTTATTTTGACAATGTATACTGTAGAACTTTAAATATAAAAATAGCTCAATTAATAAAATAAAAATAAAAAAAGGTTTACAAAGCAATCTACTGTTTTAAATCAGCAACACATGTATTCTTGTATTTTAGATCTCATGAATTATGTAGCTACTGTTTTCTTTTGATACCTTTGCATGAATAACACTTTCCTTTGAGGATACGGATTGAAAAACTCTCAAGCAAGTAAACAGAATATGATATTTATTATACATGATAATCATTTTTAACCTGTTATTTAATTCATATTTTGTAGATTAGAAAAGATAAAAAAAATTGAACTTGCCACTTACTGTCCCTTTAAGTGTCGCATGTGAATGATGTCACTGTGCGCGGTAGAGCTGTAGTTTAACATATCACTTAAACAAGGATTTTCACAGTGTATACATTGATTTATTAATGCATACACTTAGACTTTCTTTATGAACAACCTAAAATGAACCGTCTTACGTCACATTATCGTTCAAGTCTTGGGTGCAATTTCGATTCGGTGTAGTTTTTATCATTTGTGGTACTACATTGACCAGAATGCATCGCGCTCACGTGTCGTAACGTTCCTTGCCGAAGAGGTCAAAACAAACCCGGTGATTGAAAGACAGTCAGCGCGTGTGGAGAGCACAGGTAAGACAGACACCTTTCTAACATAACGTAGTGTTTTGGTCGCTCGTGGTTTTAATGTCTGTGTGATTGTTTTGTAGTTTTTAAATAACATTACAATAACGTAGCTAGTCTTTTGCGTAACACACATGCTCACTGTGACAGCGCCACATAGCCACAGACTGTACATGTTAAGCGCACACCTTACACTGCTGTACTCTGTTATAACAGAGCTTTAACATCAAGACAGCTCCAAACTCAAACCTAAACCCAAACCACCCAGCAGCACTCAAATGACGTCATCTCCTCCGCTTCCTGTCCTCTTTTGACAGGCACCCCGCTGCGTTGGGTGACAGGAAAACTTACTTTGAAATGTGTGATATATGTGAATGACTGACACAGGCTTAATAAGGTGGATGCCGAATTGAAAAGTGGGTTCGTGTGATGCCTAAAATGTGTCATATGTGAATTAAGTTCATTGAATATATCTGCACAAACAGTAAAACGTCTAATTGATACATTTTTAAAATGCAGAATGGTAAAGCAATTTGACTAAATGGGCATTTCACTAATTCCCTTTCACGTAGTCCTTTTTATATGTCATGGAGTGATATGAAGCTAAACGTGAATGTGATAATTGCAGGATAAGTTATGTTTTGATGAGATAGATGTCAAAGCCTGCAGAAGATACTGACATATACCTGGCTAAGAGAAAGGCTGTAATAAAATCAAACAATTTGCAACACTGGTCATGACAGTTTCAGTGCTGAATGTCTGGATGTCAGAGGCACCGTTATTTAGATTTTACCATATTAATCTTTCATTTTGTTTGTTTCGTGTCTTTGCTGAGATACAAAGTGATCCTTAACATGTCTTTCATACACAGCTAGTCATGAACGGTTGCCACTTTTACTAAAGTCAATGAGACATAAAAAAAAGCTTTATATAAGTGCCTGTGTTCTGTTTTGCACCAAAACACCAGGTCAAATTGTATGTGTAATATGTGTAAATGTACTTGGCAATAAAAAAAACTATTCTGATTTTTCTGATTCTGGTCTTTAACTGCAGATAAATCATTGTTGCAGGAGAACAATCTCTACACACTGCTTTGCACCTGAACACAACATCACCACATGTCGAAAGAGAAATCAAGCTATTAAATGACTCTAGTTTTAGTGAGTCACAACTTTCCTCTAGTTCAATACTTACTGTAAAATATTTACTCACAGACATCTATTCTGACTGATTCTACTTCTTGTGGGGTCAAGTTTTGGTGCCTTTTGAGAACACTTCCAATTTTACAAAAAAGTTTGACTTGACAAGACTTGTTTTTGCTTACTCTGAAGGAGTGTGCCCTCTGCTGGTACATCTCAAGATAACACTTAATCTCACCCAGGAAGTTCTCTAGTTATACTGCAAGTGTCCTTTCCTAAATTTGCTATGCAGCCAAGGAAACCTCTGGTGTTGAAAAATGAAGCCGATGCGGATGTGCAACATCCTGCAGTTTGTTGAGTGTTCGCTTGTGGCTGCCACCAGGAGTCACATACACACCCATTAAAAAAAAGCCTTTTTTTTTTTTTTAGCAGAAATTAACATGTTTACAGCCTGGTTGTAAAATGGAAATAGGTCTGATTAACTCATGATGCGATCGGCAGACACAGTATGGAGGGGGATTTTTTTTTGATGACTCATTCGTTTAGATTTTATGAAGAATAAACATTATTCATAATCAGGTTTGTAGCTGACAAGATTGACAGGTCTGGGAAGTGTAACGGTTTGTCAAGAGGCTGAAAACCAGCCTCAGCTCCAGCTCTCAGACTGTTGTTAGGTTGACTGAAAGTTAGGGTGAGACAGCATTTCCAGCATGTAGACCTCCATACCCTCCATCATGCTGTGATGTTAACTCTCTCACAGCACCCCTGATGGCTGGTCGACTCCTTAAAGTCTCCTCTCTGGCCACAGCAGTGTTCGCCTCCTCTGGGTTTTACTTCTACACCAAACAGCTGGACCTCAATGACCTCAGTGTGATCCGCTTCGGAAGAGCCGCGGCTACTGTGAGTACCTCTACAGGTGGTCTCACCTGGTTTTTATACACACAGACGACTCTGTTTGAACTCACTTACTGTGCAGCACCATGAGAACCTGCACAGCTAACCCCCTTTCTTTGCAGCCGATCACACCAGAACTTGTCATTTTAAACCCCTTCAGTTCTTGACATGTCACTGCCCCTTTTTGTCTGCAGACGGCGGTTATCAGCTATGACTACCTGTCTGCTTTCAAACATGTGGAGTACAACACGGAGGAGTACTGGGCACTCAAGTCAAAGGTACAGAAACACTCTAACATAGGGAACATTTGCACTGAGTCAAACTGGTTACAACTGCATTTAATGGCCACTTCATTGAAATACTTATGTGCAGGTGGAAAATGTTCAAATAGGAAGAAGCATTGGTCTTAAGATTTGTGTGGTTAGCAGTTAACTTACACATGGCAGCAGCAGTAAAATAAGGCTGCTAACTGGAAGCTCTAAACTCAAAACCAACCAGATTTACTAACAAGCTTGAACATTACTGCGAGCTGTCTTGAGGGACTTTTATGGTTCTGCTTTCCAGCACAGCTACACGTGTCGAACTAATCATTTAAGAACAGAACAAGGCTTGGTTTCAGGGACGAGGACGTCACTGCTGGCATGTGATCAGGGTTTGGCACACCACAGTGAAGTTTAAACCTCCTAAATGGTGTTCTTGAGTGCCCTGGGTAGATTTTCATGTTGTCTTGCATGATTTCAAATAGAAGCTGTGACCAATATATGTTGTTCTTTTTACAATATAAAACTTGTTCCATACTTTAGCAGTGCTTCAGAAATCAGAGTAAACATGACAACTTGAAGATGTCATCACTTTCAAGTTGATATGGAGAGGTTGTTTTGCTCATAGTTAAGACTACACAGCAGAGACAGAAGCCTCAGTAACGCCATAAAGAGACACTTTGTGTTAGTGTTATTATGTCATATTTGGCATAGCTGCCTACTGTTCAGGAAGAAAACAAAAATGAACCATTCATGAGGCTGTAATGTTGCTCTCCAAACATTGACAATGCTGCGTTACCAGCTCTTATATATGACAGTTAATCTCGTCCTTTCCTTGGAGGGTAAGATACTCCCTGACATTGTTGTCTCCACAGTCTTCTTCTTCTTGGAGTTAGGTCAAGTCCAACTTTGTTGTATTTCATCCACATGCAAGGTATACAGCTGAATTAAGTATTGTTTCTCACAGGCCAGGTACTCAGAAAAATAGTGCGCATAAAAAAACAAAAAACATACATGAGACAAACAAGATTGAATAAATGGTTATGACTTTTTACTAGACCAAGAAACAAACAGAGAAAAACAGAAGACAGTGCTGGAGGTTCCTGCCTCGTCTGATAGTCTCTAAATTGTCTTAAAAGAACAAACAGAAGGTGAACGTTGAGACAAGCTCTCTCTCTCTCTCTCTCTCTTTGTCTTTAAAAGTAAGTAGATCACCCATTAAAGACCCCCCTGCTATCAGTATAAACAAATAAGAATTCATCCAGTTCATCAAAAAGAGGAGGATATTTATTTGAACAGAATACAATCACAATGTTGTGAAGAAAAGATGAATTGTTCTACACCCTCCATAGTATTTTTGTACTATAAGACTGAAATATTAAAATACAGGGGTGGGGGGCTTTCACCAATTGCATGATATGGGCTAAGCTGAATCCAAAGTTTGTTGTTTCAGATTTCATATGAACCTTAAGTATACATGAAAAGATGATCAGCCTGTGTCTTGTTTCAGCGTGCACTTTATTCATAGTTAAATCCAGCAAAGATGCCACCAACGGATAAAGGTAATAACAGTAAATGCCATGTGATGTGCAGCGAGCGATGAGTGCTGGCGGTTGTTAAAAGGCCACAGCTCAGTCAGGCTCACTCAGGAGACGGCTGCTGAAAGGTCAGAGACCACCTACTCTGACAGAAAGTGCACCGAGAGCTCCACTGCAGCAACAGAGCTGCACTGAACCTTGAAGAGCATGGTTCAGCATGGCTGGCCTTTTGTGTGTGTGACATGCACCTACACACACACACACACACACCTACACACACAGACACCAGGTTCAGCCCCTCGGGCCTCGCTGGTCAAGCCTGGCTACCTCTGCTGATTAGAATTAATGCTTGCTGCTGATTTAATACAGAGCGCAGGCTCGCCTCCTCATTATTATGAAGTCATAGAGGTGAGCAGACAGCACAGTGGCTCCAAGCTTGTTTTGGGTCTTTATGCTGCTTATTGTAGTGCAAACAGAGGACAGGAAGGAGACATAACAGGAAGGACAGACACTTGAAGGAAATTGATCCAGTTCTTTAAATATGATTACGTTTAACTCGTACAGTGAGCAATACGTGGCCCACCGTAACGACCACACACAATACAGTGATAATTGATATTCTGCAAGACAATCATATACCAATGATTCATCATGATGTCTGATTAACAGAAGGATGTAATATGTCCCTTAAAAGATAAAGTGAAGGATTCATCTATTTATTTACTACAATTCAATCCGGGAATACCCTGGACTGTTTCAGGCGGTATCTGACCTGATCTGTGAGTGTGCTGTGCGGTGTACAGGGGGGCATCAGTGTTGATCTGCTGCTACCGTCTGGTCAGATGAATTTCTGACATGTCGGAAATTTTCGTCTTGCGACTGCACACATTCGACAGCCGGAGCAGATCCATGAATTACTGGGCTTTTTTCTTTTCTTCTGATTGCCCCTGCGCAAACTTTCAGACAGCTTCTGAGGGCACCATGGCAACAGCAGGCATGCCTGTTTGATGTATGAGAAATACTGGCAGGAAATAGCTGTGGACCTCCAGCTGCCAGGGGATATTTTTTATGATTTCTTGCAGTTAGCGTGTGTGCGTGTGTGTGTGTGTGTGTGTGTGTGACCGTGTTTGTATTCGAGTGCAGCGTATGACACAACTAAAACACACATAACATTCTGCTTTTTGGAAAATGTGTTTTGTAAAAATGATGTAGTAATTGTATTGTGTCTGTGCTTCACTTTGCGCTAACACAAAGTTGGAAAAAAAAGCCATACTCTTGAGTATTTTCTATCAGATGAAGATGTCATGTCAGCGCCCACTGACCTACAACTGTGTGTTTGTTTCTCATCACGAGGGCCACATTTGACTGCACCCTTAATGAGCTCTTGTTTCTGCATCTCATCTTATCTCAGCCGAGCGGCTTCCAGCCTCTCGTGAAGAGTTTCACTCAAAAGCCACTTAAGCAGCCAGCCTTCCAGGCTCATCAAAGGCTGCCCTGAGTGAACCGAGGGGCCATTCACAGCCAATTAGAGTATCACACAGCGAGCATGGGAGCACTCTCAAGTCTGCCAAATGAGTGGAGGAACATGCCCTGCAATGAGAGAACAGATGGACGCCTTTTTGTCCTCTGCAGCTCACTAAGTTCTGCTGTGATTTCTCTCAACCTCAGGAACACGCCGGGGCTCAACACTACATTAAACTCCCGTGTAAACTGTAGCAGACACTTGATTACCAGAGATGTTGTATGGTTGACATTCAAACATCTTCTGTTTTTAAAAGCGGAGCTCTCCAGCTTTTCTTGTGTGTTGTCTCTCCAACCAGAGCTGCACTATGATACCACTTGTCTTTGGAAAACAGCCATATGTGACTACACTTCAGAGTGTGTTGGCTGATCGTACACAAAAATAAGGGGAACATATCAATCAGAGATGCCAAACTTGATTCCCAGAAACACAAAGTTTAGGATTCTTTATGTACTTCTGCTCCTGTGGTCTATACGCAGCCATTATCAGAAGGTCTCTTCCATCTTCTCAGCAGGTAATCTGCACTGAGTTGCTTTTCACTGTACTAAATTACCACTCAGGCTCAGGTGCAGGTACTCAGCTGTTATATGTACATGTCGTCTGGCCGAGAACAGGAGACTACATGCTGATTATGGATGCTTACTCGTTTCTAGCATAGTAATAGATGGAGAGGCAGAGAGCAGCCTCTGTTCTTACAAATCTTTTATTCAGTGTGTGGGGAAAAAATCGTTTCACATTAGAATAGATAAATAATAAGTTGTTTTTTTTCCAGTAGCCAGTTTGCAAAAAATATTCTGCTGGCATTCAGTGCACCCTTACAACCTTCCTTGGCACACAGATGCAGCAGAGGGTGTGTGTGTGGATCCTGGCTCGTCAGTTGCACTGCTAACATCAGCTAGCTATGATGTTAGCAGTGATGTATGTGACGTTTGTCTCTTATCAAGGGTAGATGGTTGAAACTTTAAAAAATGTTTTTAACAAAACAAGATTCTTAACAATGTGTCTCAATGCCCCCCTGGGTGTGGGATGCCGCCTATCAAGCTAGGCCCTCTATAAACTGAAGGTTACAACCTTATCCCGTTTGCTCTCCTGCCCCATCTATCACCTAACCTGTGACTATGGCCTGTAAAAATCAGATATTGTCTTTGGTGCACTCAAACCTGTTCTCGAGTCTGTCCACATAAAATCAGCCGACCTGAAACACAATCATGCCATGTGTAAAACTGTCCAGTACCCTGAGGCTTGATAAGCCCTTAACATTCAGAGTATGTAACACAAACTGGATCACCTGGATATACGTGAATTGCCACCTCACCAGTGCCTGAAAATATACTCTCCAACAACCAATGTAGCGACTTGAGGCATGAACCTTTTTCACTCATGCACATAACTCCTGAATATTTTTTGTGCTGCAAATGTGAATCCAAAGTGCAGCATTTTCCAACTTTATTCAGAGATTTTTTTCTGTCAGAACCCTATTAATTTCTCGCAAGAAGTCAAGGTAAGCAGATAAGTAAAGGCAGAGGGCTGGCATATGACATTTATATCCTGCGACTTTTGTGTATGTTTTGAAACTGTTTTTTTATTTTTTTTTTAAAGATTTATTTTTGGGGCTTTTTTTGCCTTTATTTTAGAGATAGGACAGTGGATAGAGTCGGAAATCAGCGAGAGAGAGGGAGTATGACATGCAGGAAAGGAGCCACAAGTCGGATTCAAACCTAGGCCGCCCACATGGAAGACTATAGCCTCTGTACATGGGGCGCTCGTGCTTACTACTACGCTACCTGCTCCCCTTGCAGCATGTTCCTGTCCTCTAGTTTCGTTGATACTGTAAATACTCTCCAATTACTTGTAACATTTAATATAAAGGAAAAAAACTGTAATCGTAGTGGCAGCCTCTGTTGCTTCGTCCGCCATCTTGAAGTGTTTTCTTTACATCATGTCTTGCTTCCTCAGAT